TCCTGAGCTCCGCTAACTATGCTGACTATATAGCACTATATAGTCAGCTTGCTTTTTCCTGATCGTACACTTACATGATGTATGAGTGGTGATTGAGATGTTGAATAGTAAGAGAAAACTATTATGATTAACTGCACAGTGAAGGAGGACAACATCAGGAAAAACCTCCTGGGGGAAAAACCAGTAATTCACAATAATATTCGATAATGTCCGAGAATTAGATCTAATTAACAGCCTTAGGAGAATTAGGAAGATTATGTAGTTTAGAAGGACTTTCTTACCCCCCTTGTCTGTGATGCATAATTATCAAGATTTAGCTGATACTAGACACAATTGTTGTGAATTGCAGAAAGGATATATCAAAACTTTGGTTCACAGATCACACGCGCCGGACAGTGTTACAAGAACAAGACTAATATTGGATTAAAAGATGCGTATAAGAGTAATCAAACAAACTGCTGAAGATCGGGGTATGCGAAATTTAGGAGTGATCAATGAATCTGCAACATATACGGGTATAGATCAGCACTACAGGACCTAATCGTCGGCCATGCCATCCAGGTCGAGTAGCGCCAGTGCATCTCGATGCTCACTGGCAAGATGATCATTGCCCTTCCGTTTCAAGGTCCTTCGAGTAGCATCAGTATCCGCGTCAAAACGGCACCATGCATACCAGCGAAACTCACTGTACAGCTTTGAAAATGTCAGCCATCATGCAGTGAAACTTTCCAGGTGCATCCTTCTTCAAAAAAACTTGACGTGAAAAACATATGTTTCACTGAACTGATTCCCAGTAAAGTTAAACTTCCCTGGTGAACCAAGTGTCTTCCAGAAGAGGGCCGCGTAGATCTTGAAAATGAGTGAGAACAGCATGAAGACTTAGTAGAAAGGACATTACTGCTGTTGCCATGAGCGCCAGCAATGGAATGGGGACTTCAGGGCGATTGCACTTGTTTCTCGCAATTTCGACAAAGTGCTCTGCAAACTTGATGCCGATGGACTTCGCACCATTGAAGACTCCATCGTGTAACAGAAAAATCAGTAGGTCACCCTGGTAGGGTTTTTTCCCTATGGGCAAAGCGTCGTCATTGGACTGTTGAAGAGGGAAGTTAGTTAGAGAATTGAACGGTTGAGGAAGGAGCAGTGAAGATATGTAGAAGGGAATATGATAAAAAAACCTGCTCCTGAGTGCTGCAGAGATCTTGAGTTGAAGAACAGTCGAGGACGAGGATTGAACGGTCGAGGACGAGGATTGAATGGTCAAGGACGAGGATTGAACGGTCGAGGACGAGGATTGAACGATCGAGGAAGGAGCAGCGATGATATGTAGAAGGGAATATGATAAAAAAACCCGCTCCTGAGTGCCGCAGAGATCTTGAGTTGAAGAATGGTTTGAGGAAGGAGCAGTGATGATATGTAGAAGGGAATATGATAAAAAAAACCCGCTCCTGAGTGCCGCAGAGATCTCAAGTTGAAGAACGGTTGAGGACGAGGATTGAACGGTTGAGGAAGGAGCAGCGATGATATGTAGAAGGGAATATGATAAAAAAACCCACTCCTGAGTGCAGGGATCTCGAGTTGAAGAATGGTCGAGGACTGAACGGACGAGGAAGAATGGACACGGTCAAGGATTGAACTTACATCAAACCTCAAGGCATATACATCAGTAAACTACAACTTTCTCACAGAGGTCACACACTTGGGGTCTCATGACAGTAAGCCACAGGACTCGCAGGCTCACAGTCAATAGTGGTACAGCATTTCCAGTCACTCACAGTTCAACAGGGACTGACAAGCAACGAGGTTCCTAGTAGCACTATAGTCTACATAGCACTACTACAACTTTCAAGTAGCAGCATAAATTAATATGGCAAAGTGTAATGATACTGTCACAACTAAACTTAAGTCACTCACAACTCAAACTGACTCTTTGGAACGAAAATAGATCGCATACTAATAGAAAATGAGGCAATCAGAAGCCCTACATACTACATACAACTAGTACAACATATATGCATAGATGAGGACGGGATAATACAAAATAACGATGCGCAAGACTCTGAGTCAATCGAGAACTATGGTGCAGTGTCGTCCATGTGAGCCTTCCATTATTGAAGCGTTAGAATCAACAACATTGCAAGAAAAAATGCTCATGCACCACAAGAACTTGGTTGACCTTTTCCTTGTAATGGACGATCAAGAGGGACTTGGGACCAACCATGATCTTTGAAAACAACTCTCATACATCCCAGCCCGGTATCTGTCTCATCTACCTTCTTCTTGGTGGCTGCTGCGCGAACTTTCAGCAGGCTCGTAAGTGCCTTGTTTTTTTGTATGACGCATTCTGCAAGCGCCTTCTGAGCTAGGAAAATATCACGCTTGGCTCTTACAAGATTAAGCACAAGGTTTGCTTCAGAGTCAGTTGGTTCATGCAGTGCGGACTATTGAATATAAGGTATGATGAAGAATACTAGAAATGATGGATGAGAAGAACTCACAATGGAATTGATAGCATCAAGAACATCGTATAGGTCACCAATACCGCGAGGTGTTCTGCCATTGCATTCACTGATGGAGTGTAAATGATGAGTAAAATCGCCAGAGCTGGAAGCGAGCCCTGACAGTGATTGTAGAGTAGTAATATCAAACTTGGGTGATGAGGATAATATGAGGAATGTAGGTGTCTGGAAAATGCTGAATTCAGATCAACTTCATACCAAGTCCGCGAGTTGGATTATTGATGGCGCCAGCCCATTGTCCATCGTGCGGAAAAGAATTCCGGGACCATACCTCTGTCGCTCGTCATTTGGGCCAACCTTGATCTGGATGTAATGACTGGCTAGACAATTTAGTCCAACTTAACTCTACCTTGCCACCCACCGAACATGATTTCATGGCGGTGGACAATGAGAATGTTCAAGCCCCCTACAACTATCAGCAAGGAGAGGATGGGAGTCACTACGATTTTGGGAACCAAGGAGAGAATTTGGACCCTGGAAGTGGAACTTGGAATGAGGATAGTGAGGCCAAAGTAATCGATCACTTTCCAGAGCCTCTGCTGGCTTTTGAGGAGGGCTATACATTTTTGGGCCTATTCGATGCTGATGAAAACAGCATCTATGTTAAGACTGTACTCAAGTAGTATCGGATCCGAAGGGCTTCGGCCTCAGCTCATGCGCTGTGCCCCTTTCCCAAGTCTTGCCCCTTATTTCAGAGTGCTAGAGTATCGTGTATAGTGAGACGGATAAGTCTCGTAACGGATCCGTTAGGGCTTCCGGATATCAAACATATATAATAATGGCTAATCCAGATCGGATCCGAACTAGAAACTAATGGGCAAGGACTGTCCGAAGACAGAGATGGATATATAGACTATAGGAATCAATCCTAAGTCTCAGGAGTTGACAAGAGTATTGTACTCGAGTCTGGATGGATAATGGAGGGACTTAGAGTCCTGACAGGAATGAGTGCAATCTAAGATGATATTCGAACTGATCTACTACAGCGCATGTACAAGGGTTTATATACTACGGATAACTAACGGAATGATCAATAAGCAAAGGTGCGAGGCTATGTACGAAGTATAAGCAAAGTATGTGTACAGCATATTGGTAAGTCGGACAGATAACGTATCATAACCGGGAATGAAGTATAAGCTAAAGCGGATCAGTAAGTGTAGCAGATCAGTAAGCATAACGGAAGTAAAGGATAACCGGTATACCGGTGTACAGGAATGCCGAAAGGAGATGAACGATAGTTAGAGTTATATGAACAGGACATGAAATAAGGATTAGATCGGATCTGTGGACCAGACGACGGATATGTCCATCGGATCTGGATTGGATCTGAGATCCGGATCTTCGGATCTGTACCTGGGAATATGGTATATGACAATCTATTGCAAAACAAATCAAGAAGACTTTCACTGTTGGTGGTGATCTGAGCGAGGATGGTACAACGATGGATCAAGAGAGTGACCCCAAGGTATGAGCCCACTACTTTGTTGGAGTACACTAATATCTCATTCAAGCTGAATGATGTCTTGAATCTTCACCACAAGAGAAATGGCCACCCCCGACTTCCTCATCCCGCTCTCCTGGAGCTTCTCTGTGCTGCCGAGATAGATACCTCTAACTCAAAGGCGAAACAGAAATGGAAGCACAAACAGAAATCGAAAATTGAAACAGAAGTCAAGGGTGGTCAATGGATCCGAATCCGATAGTGAAGGGCCCAAGGCTACCCAACTAGGACTGGTATAGTTCACACTGGAAGAGTTTCCTCGAGGATGCGAAGGTGGAGTGTCATACCCAGCAGGCATTGGATAACCCTTTCCCTGAGCCTTATTCATGATCTGCCGGTCTCAATCACAGAGTTGCTCTTAGCCTCTCTCGTTCAATGGCTTAAAAATGGCCAACAAGTTGATGCTGGTAAGCTACAATTTCCCTTGAGATATTCTACTGACTCGAGGTGTCTACTAGGTGTGTGGCCCGCTCGTAAGCCTGACATGGCGAGGCTGGTGGGTATCTATTTTATGGTGTGCTTCTTGTCTGATTTATTTTCTAGCTGTATGATGACTTGGCCACCTGGCGCTCTGACCTGAAGAAAATCGCGATCTCCAGTCGCCTCTTCAGGCATACAGTCTTTCCCCACCAGCTGATATCCCCAGTTGAAGAACGTGCAGCTTGGGTTGAAGCTGCCGCCGCAGAATTACTGGATGGTGGTAGATTTCTGCGCTTTGGGCTAGATGAATTGGGGAAAACTAGGAATTTTGCGCATCCTGCGCTTCTTCAGGCCATTGTCCTATTTTTCTACACCGGAACTTATCAGTGTTGCTCGTAGACGACCAGCCATTTTTCAGAAGGAAGTGCCTGTTGAAATGTTTAGCTCTTGTTTGCACAGCGGTACGTCCTCGATATTGACCTGACAGTGTTCTGACACGTTTCAGTTTCATTGCGTCTTCCAGGGCCTGAAGAAAAATGGTAACGGCAAGAGTTACTCGAAGTTCACTTCCAAGGAGTATGAGTTGGTCTATCATTCAATGCTTGCACTACTTGATGATGTCATGAAAGACCCATATCATGGGCCAAAGCTGGTCCAGCAGCTTCGTGAATGGGCCAAGATCGGATGGTGAGGACTCTTTCTGCGTTGTGTTCAGCGCTAATGAGTTCATTCAGGGCGGAGGCATCCAAACTCGATGGCGTTGACATGTTGAAACACCACCACTTGCGTGTCCAGCTTGATTGAGTCCCGGCAGATTTTTTGTAGTCGCATCATATCCTTGCATATTTGCATTTCTCTCTTTACTCGTTGTTCGCTAGTATTGCGTTTCCCGTGGATTGGATATATTGTCATTTGTTTGCTACTGTACCCGAGTCGAGTAAGCTACATTCTGAGTGGTTTGTGAGTACCTGCACAAACATGGACAGATCTGTACAGACATGGACAGATCTGTACGGACAGACAGAAAATGATTGTTATTTAAATTTTGTCTGGTCCTCACTGGGCGGGTCTGTGAGTGTCTGTGCAGAGATTGACAGAGAAAATTCTACTGTAGTGAACTGGCTAGTAGGGACTAAGCTATACATATGGAGTGCTGTACAGATCTGTACAGAGCCTGGTAATTTACTGATGCTCAAACTCGTCCTTGGAGGTGAACACCCAGCGCGCCTTCTTGGGTTCACAGATAGCGACTTCGCCAATTGCCCTGACACTCGTCGTTCTGTTAGCGGATACTGCTTCACCCTAGGCAGCGGAATGATTACCTGGAGCGCACGCCAGCAGAAGACCATCTCACTCTCCACTTGTGAGGCCGAGTATGTCGCTGCATCCGACGCTGCAAAGGAACATCAGGAAAACTACTGGTTGCTTATATCACTTTTTGTCCTTTAATGTTTAGTAAGTGAAAATCGGAACATTGCTTTTTTGACTTAATTGACTTTCTTACAAGCGAATTAAGCCAGGACCACTCAAAAAGCGGAAAAATGGTATTAAGTACAATAAGCAGAATACATGTAAAAACGGTACCACTAAGTGAGCAAGTCCAGAGGCATTTTTGAGCATGACATCTGCCAGTGCAAATGAACGAACATGCCGTAGTAGAGGCTACTAAAGGTGACAATAATGCCAGTGGCCACCAAACAAAATTCATTGGTTGTTGAAGAGAGGTTGAGAGGTTGCGAGAACGGGGGTATCTGCGGCCCTGTTACGATCACCAAACTTGCTGTGATAATTAGGCTGAGTGTACAAGTAGGAGATAGGACAAACTCACCTGAGCAACACGTCTAGGACGCGATCTCGAACGCATGATGGTCTGCGAACTTATTTACATAGAATGCTTGAAAAACATCGTACGAGTTGTAGTGCTTGAGGTTGCGTGAAACGTTCTGTGGTCCATAGATTGGGATGAGATGTGTGGCACGGTAAATTGTGTCAATATGAATGATCCCAACAGACAGAGAATCGTCTGTATCAAATGAAGGAGTGACGATCCACATCCCAGTGTCTTCATCAGGTTGATCATCGGCTTTGTTGAACCAGCGCACAACAGCGCATGGGTATGGGTGTCCTTCAAATGTGAAGGTGAAAAACACATAACTCAGGCTACATCCATGCCCCCCATCCCTTCAGTGTCTGCATCTGTGTTAACAAACACACAGTCATACCGGGGTGCCTCATTTCTCCAAACGGGACAGGAACGAATATGCTCTCGCCGCATTCCTCCAATCCCACTGTGGTCGCTCAGTGCATAGAATGTTGAACATGCAGAGTTGAAGACTTGAATCTTGTTGTCGGGTCGAAGACATGCTGTGAGTGGGACTTCGGAGGCAGAGCGCTGGTCGTTTGGGTGCAGTTGTTTGAATAGAAATCGACGGAGGAGAATAGAGAGATGGGGAATGGCGAGTTCTGTGGATAACTCAGGGAGAGTGCGTGCATGCTTGCATTCTGCATCATATCAAGATTGTATTAGAAAGATCTACAATAAATGAGACAACTCACAATAGGTCTTGGCCAACTGAACATGAGCCTGCACCAGTGTTGGGCTGTCATCAACTTTGCCCTCTTTGTTGTCACCCAGTATTGTAACACCCACATTGGAGGGTAGCACCGTGATATTCTCGTTCGAATCACCAGTGTCAGCCACTGTATTTAGGCGTAGATGTTCTATGTTAAACATCAGTCGATGATAAGTATGTATAGCACTAGAAACTCACTCAATTTATCAAGTGTTGCTGATAGGCAGGTGCCGTTTAACATTCCACGGCTCTTGAAGTCAACCCGCGCCACTGCAAGCTTATCAAGGCACTGATTGGTCAACAAGATTTGACCAAGGGCCTTGTAACGACTTGAGCGCCTCCAAGGCTCCTTTACAGCTTTGATATGCTTGGTTTCCGTGATCGATGAGCAAAGGCCATTAGGTGCACCAAAAAGTCGGATGAGTAGGATATAGTGAGAACATGAGTGTTGTCGAGGGAGGGAGAACATGGGGATGACACCGGTTATCTTCAATATTTCCCTGTACTGGTGGAACTGGTCGAGAGCCTCTTGAATTTGAACCAACATAGATTCTGTAATAACATTACACCAGACAAGATAGCAAAATTCAAGAAATGGGCGAAACGCGCACACCACATCCGTTGGGACATGGCCTTGAATGGCAGGAAGGTAAACCTTCATGAGCGCCTTCGAGTCGTCGCCTGTCCATTGCTTGAACCCTTGGCCTTCCGGGAAACGTCGAAGGCCTGCGAATGACGCGACTGTGGTGATCCTTTGATAACATGAGTTTGTTGAGCATATTGAATTGAGATCAAGTAACGTACCTTTGGTCTATATCATCCTGAATTCTCTCTGCTTCTTTCTTGCCGTGCTCGAGTCTCAAATACTTACCGACCCATGTAACCAAGTGATCCTTGAATGTTCCTTTGATAAGTTGGTGCAGAATGTCTGGTGCGATAAGTTCATGGATGTCGCCTCGAGGAAAATCATTTGTGAAAGGCTAGAAAAGCCTGAATTTCAATTGCGAGATAGAAAAGACACATGGGGCTTACCACAAGATCACTGACAATCCCATACTCTAGCCATAGAGCGCTATAGTCAATCTCTTCAACGAGCGCCTCTGTATGGTCGCGACACCAACACAACGACGCAGCATCTAAGTCGTCACGGTGAGACATACATCTGTTTAATAGTAGTAGTGAGGCAAAGGGATGTTAGAGATACTTTGAGGGACTTACCTAGGACACCAAAAGCGCACTATGCAGGCTAACAGCGCCTGCTCTTCATAATCCGCAATATATGGTCCAAGACCATAGATTACACACCGGTAGTGGCCATCGCCAAAGCGCACGATCTCTGGTTTTGTCATGCCGGGCTTTAGGTTCTCGAGGATCTTGGCAAGAGATGAATGGAAGAGTTGCCAGCGATATTTTCGAAACCGTGGGTCAGAGGCGTGCTCCTCTGTAGCTGTTCAATTGTAATTAGCACAGAGCAATAATAATAGGATGAAACTTACTTTTTGGCATGGCAAGGAAGCCAATGATGGCAACGGCGTCACAATGTGCACATCGAACATTGTTTCAAACATTCCCGATAGATACATAGAGGGGATAATAGTCATTAGCACCAGTCGCCACTGAGACCGTTGTCTTGTCGCTCCCGAGTACGACTGGCACAAACATTGAGCCAAGCGTTTCAGGATCTTCGGAAATAATATCCTACCAAAGTGTCAGCATGCATACTACTAGCTACCAAAATAAAAGAGAACATACCGCTTGGTTCCAAGCCCAGTCACTGGACATGAAGTCCTGCCATTGGCACTCGTCACTATCAGTCAAGTACTCACAGTAGGGTTGGTAGTCCATTTCCATTGCGTATTCTGGATTCGCCAACATGCTACGAACAACCTCGTGAGGATCGTGATACCAGACATCATAAGGTTGATCCATCCAGGGTGGTATGTTGTGTGCCAGTTTCTCCCCAGTATACTGGACCTTGAAAGACTGCCATTTGATATCACCTACCGGTGTACTGTCAATAGTTTTGTACAAATCATGGCAGTCTGCGAATGGTGGCTTGTCGTTGTGCTTGAGGAGAGTTGCAGCCCAAAGGTCCAATAATATGTTGATGTTCCCGGCAGACATCTGGTTGCGCGTGTACAGGAATTCTGCGGTCTCAAATTCAACGCGATTCCGGTATGGGGTCCAGTCATCAGGTGACTTGTCTGGAGGTGGCAGTGGAGGTGCTCCATCTTCAAGAAACTGCCCAGTTACATCACAAGGACGCGCTTATCAACACTTGTGTTAGTTTTAACCAATCAAAAGCATCAAGAAAAGTACTGTTTAGTTTTGAGTGAAAGTTGCGATATAATCTATCACCCAGCCCCCAAAATTCGGTGTCGATGGTGTCTGAATTGTCAGGCTCACCAAATGGCTGACCAAGGTCAGGCGAACCTGCAGGAAGGCCATAGTCACCTGGTGAAAAATCATCATGGCCAGCGGTGAAAATATCGTCCGGTAGATCTTCAAACTCGTCTTCAACTGAAGCGGCATGCGACACTGTGAATGTTCTGTGTGCAGAGTTCCAATGTTTTGTTCGGCCTGCTTGAGTCTTGAAGAAGCGCACACAATTTAAGTAGCCACATGGAAGTTGAAGGGCATTGTGATCCCTGCGAGACATGGTAAATGGTAGCAAAAAAGAACTTGATAATGCGGCCACTGGAAACAGGTAATGGTAGTAATATTAAGTTTGAACTAGTTCAACACTGCTGTAACAAATCTAGGTTGGTGAGAAAGTCGGCCCATTTGTCGGGGTGAGACTTATGAATTTTTTCAGTTCCAAACCACTGCTTTCGTCACAGCACTGAAGCTTCATTGTTGTCTCCCTTGTCTCCTTTGTGATGTCTACTGCAGCCACAGATACAAACCCGTCGCACCCGTCCGTCAAATGCCACTACTCGACCTGGCAAAATAGTGCTGGAGGCCCAGGTCAAGAGGTGTTCCAAGGCTCAAAAGGCTGCTGATGACCTCGCTCTCAAAGAAGCAAAGGAAGCAAAGGAAGCTCTGTTCAAAAGGGGCTTGAGCGCCTCGCTCACATCGAGACTGAGATGGGAAAAAAGCAGGGAGAAGTACTCACCAAAAGGCCGCCCCCGTTCGGCCTAAACCAAGGGCACAAAAGGTAACAAAGACGGCTGTGGTAGAACATGGTGACCATCAGGGTGACAGCGTATTGGATGACTTACCAGAGGCTGATGAGATAGACAACCACCAGAGGACCCCTACTGAGCGAATGGACGATGTACCTGCTACCACAGGGAAAGGGAAGAAGGTGGCGGTAGGGAAGAGAGGTAGTATGAAGACAACGATTCATGATGCCATCAGTAACGTGCAAAAGAAGCACAACGAGTCATCATCAAATGTGGAATGTGATAACATCGATAAGGCACCACGTGCTGATGGGAAAGATGCCACCACCACTGTGAGGTTCTTCTTCCACACAATGTTGCTCCTCACTGAATCGACTCTGTTTTTCCTTAATCTCACTTCCAGTATCAATGTGGCCACTATATTAGGTGGCCAAGTGACCAACTGGGTTTCAGCAGTCAAGCCCGGAAAGTTGGAATTATCACCCCATGTATCCAGCCTTTCGACTTGAGAACCCCCCTCGACTATCTTTTCACACAACACTGCCTCCTCTACAGCAAATTCGGCAACTCAGCCCCCAAGTTCAATTGGTGCGGCTCAAACCAAACACGTGCCTGATGATACCCTTACTGGTGCCTTTGGAGACGAAATCGATGATTCGTTGGAGTATGAGGCTATTTGTGAGGAGAAGCAAGATAAAGGGAAAACTAAGGTGAGTGGCAGTGATTTATTGGTGCCAGCATTTAATTCCTTGCTTAGCAGGTCGTCTCAATATTGGATGAAAACTCCGACTCAGACTTTGATGAGCCTCGGGCAGGCCAAGGACTTCCGCAATACGATGACTCAGAGCTTGAGTTATCGCAGGAGCCTAGGGCCCTGTTCACACAAGCACCTAATTTGAAATCCTCCAAACGCAAGGCTAACGAAATCTTAGCTGAGATGTCAGACGCTGAGTCTTTGGTGTCCGATTGGTTTATGGAAGTTGACGGTGTTGATGACCCGATAGTTGAATTGTCTCAGCCTGAACCTATTGTGGTGAAAAAAGAGAAAGTTTCCCGCACAACAACCTCGGTAAGGATCATGACTATATCACCACTCATTCTGACACTTGTACAGACGTCTGTCACCACTTCTATTGCCAATAGTCAGCCACCTGCTCCAAAAAAGGCCAAGATCGAGTCTGCAGTTCGTGGTATACCTGCCAAGCTCAAGCCAAAACGCCAACAGAATGTGCTGGTGGACACTACACCGGAGCACATGAAAGCACATGGTGCCTATCGTACAGTTGACTTACCTGCGGCCATGCAAGCAGACCAGCGCTGGACGAAGAAATTCCTCCCTACCATAATGCTGTGGGCTGGAAGTTATGAAGACATCTGGGTTATCCCAGATGATGTTCTTCTCCATCATGCTCAACTTATTTTTGATGCGGTATACAAAAGATCTTAATATTGTCCTTGTTCTCAATGGTGTGGTACATTCGCTTGTAAGTCCCCTGTTATGTTCAATTTTATTTACTGATACTACATTGATTATTAGACTGCACAGTGCATCTCAGAATGGCGCAGTAATTTCGGCTCAACAGCCATAGTCATTATCATGGACTTTATGACACGTAATGCCGACTGCGCTCCTAGCGATCTGGCAGCGTCCCTTGTCCAGAATTGGGCCTTCTTATATGAGGACCCTGGTAGTCCATCTCCTCTCACAGCTTACCGCTCTCCCCCTCATCTTACAGCTGCTCGGCATGGCACACCTCAATGCCATCAAAGGGTATGTGGAGGTTCCCTCCTTCGACATGCATGAGCTTGTGACGAGCGGGATGTTGCGGGTTCTCGCCCTCTCTGCTGTAGCGGTAAGCTCAATTTAAAATGACTTGTTCGCACTGATTTTTTTAAAAGATCGAGCGTGCCCTTGGATTGATAAAAAAACAAACAACTCAAGGTTCAGGATGTTCTGTCGTCCGCATCACACAGCAAAGTGGCCATCAAACTACCGAAGGTTCTGAACAAATTGACGGGGAAAGAAACCAATGTTCCGTTTTTATTTTCAGCGTCTCTCTGGTCCAAACCAACCAAGGCGTTCATCAAGTCAATTTTGAGCAAGCCTGCTGGGTATGTGGAGGCCACCATAGAAATGGCACGCATGACAGTAATTGATGCCGCCACTGATACGCCGTCAAACTTGCTCGATGATGAGGAGTCAGAGTCGGACGAGCGAGCTATGATTTGTGAGCATGGATTGAATCATCCAGGTTTACTCTCGCTGACAACTGGCCCCTGCAGGATATTGTTTTTGTGGCCATAGCCATTCAATTTGCGCTGGAATCATTGTCGTTAATCTTCCCCTGCTACTGCATCAACCGCTGCCAGTCGTGTTTTCTGCTGCGCTCGCTTTTTTGCTCATGTTGTCAGACGTGTCACTTAATTTTACACTTATTTGTATGCTCTTTTTTCCATTATTGAAGAGTTGTGTTGCTTTTTTTTAAGTGCAATAAGTGTGAAATAAGTGAAAATCCAGACGAAGAGTGGGCTTAATTAAGTGGCTCACACTTTTTCACTCCAATGACTTATGTGTCCCTTTTCACGCAATTTCCACAATATATAATCTTATGATGACTTGGAGCGCGGCGTCCACCCGCGTGCGTCTCACGTGCGCTTACTTGACCAATTTCTACTACCACTACCATTCAGAAACCTACTAACGTTACCATCATTAGCTTCGCTCCATCACTTACAACATTGCCGAGTCCTCGTGCTCACGAAATAAAACTCCACTTTACTTCATTTGGTTGCGAGCACATCATCAATTCCTTATAAGCTGACCCTTTCATCTGCGTCATCTTGCTGTTTGAACACCGCAGCTCCAAAACATGTCGACGTCATTTACGCACAACGAAAAATATAAATTCTGAGTCGTTCTTCATCAGTTTGCCCACGCATCATTTGTGTTTTACGACTTGATCTATTATGCCCGGTTCATCCATGAATCTGTCTTGATGATATTTCACACAGTCGTATACTACAGTGCTGACACTGTAAAAGAAGATGATCAGCTCATAGCAGATCACCCTGAAGCGACACCTGATTTTCTCGCAATTCTCTCACAAAATGGAATTCCAAAGCACGGACTTTATCTCAAGCAGGGCTGTATTTGCTCACTTAGGCGCAATATGTCTGTTCAGAAGGAACTGGTGAAGAATGCACGCCTCATCATACAACAATTGCACCGCCATTATGTCAAGGTTCGAGTCATCAACAACAGGACAGGTCAACTTGGAGATACTCAATACATCCCCCGCATCCACTTCGAATTCACACCCCCACGCGCAAGTTAGGACTGTTCATCGTCTACAATTTCCCCTCCGTCTTGCATATGCAACGACTTTCAATGGTTGCCAAGGTCTAACCCTTGACAAGACCGTTCTCAACCTTCGCTGCGAAGTCTTCGCCACGGTCAACTGTACACAGCCCGTTCACGGATCCGTCAACGAGACGATTCACGCATCCTATTTTCAGAAGACAAACCAAATGACGATTTCAATACGTCCAACGTCGTGTATAAAGAATTGTTATTAGATTTGAACTAGATCCATCCAACGAGCCGCGCAGCAGCAAGCACTTGTAAGTGATAAAGAAAGTAAAATAAGCAACCGGTAGTTTTCCTGATGAACTTGTTGTGGCTTCCGAAGCCTGCTTCACGAGATCGAATTCACACAACCTTCAGCGACTCCCCTTTTGTGCGACAATATACTGGCGGAATTACGCTCACCGAAGACACTTCCTATCATTCCAAGGTCAAACACATCGATATTGCTGTTCATTCAATCCGCGAACGTGTCGTCAACGGACCAACTCAAACTGCACTACATCAAATCCTTAATAACGCTGCTGATATATTCACAAAGGCACTGCCACGGAAGGATTTCGAACGCTTACGAACATGCCTGGGTCTACAGTGAGAAATCGAGGAGGAGTGTTAGTGCTATGCACGCCGACGTGATGAGCGGAGTTAGAAGGTTGGAATACAAACCAACCTATATAGGCATCTTCGTAGCGTCTTCTCCCCTCAGTCTGTTCCATAACGACTGAGGGTGAGTTACACTCGTTTGGACTCTACTTAGACACTGACGGACTGCTTATATTAGGCTAACGCTGTGTCTAGGTACATTGCAATACAGTCTGTTCCATAACGACTGAGGGCTAACGCTGTGTCTAGCTTAATACACTTGGACGTCCTGCAAGAGATCCTCAACCGGTTCCATTCCACTCATCCTCCGTCGAAACTACCCTCACAATACGATCTTGATTTCCACCTTAAAGATTCGGATATTGCTTCACAAGCCTCGTCTGTTGATGCTAAGTACCTCTTCACTAGAAACCTGCCTGTTATACGCATGAATGGGTCTTCCCATGTTCTGCCCAATTCCGATCGGAGAGATTTGATATCTCCAGACGCCACAGTCACAGCGAGGTTGCAACAACTTATCAGCGACTTTCACGGCCGAGGAAGCAACAAGTTCTGCCGTAATTACGCCAATGATCTGGATCGGAGCAGGTCGGTATTCTGCAAAGAAAAGTTCGTTGCCTTACCAGATTCTGCGCCGTACACGACAGAAGTATTGCTGGAGTACCATTCTCTTCATAGTCGGCAATTCCAGGATGCACTTGCATCTATCGTACATGTCCTCTCCCCCGTCTCTGTCGCCGAGAATGCGTTGTATAATGCTGGGTTATGGCCTCGAGTCACACCAAATCTCCTCTTCACTCGCATGGCTTCTGCATCGGGAAGTTGTTTGGGGAAGGCATGACTCGGACGTACAGCTCTTGTCTGCCTGTCGCAAATACTCCTGCAGCTGCAACGCTCGCGAAGGTTGTTTATATTTGCCGCTAGCAAAAACTGGAGCGAGTTCTTCAAGGAATTGGAGAATGAAGAATGCGAGCGGTCTGATTCGGAGCTGTACCCTGATTGGCTTTTAATACAGGTACGCCTCAGAGAGAAGTCATTTGTTCACGATTACTGATGATAAGTGCTGCAGATTGAAAGTCAGTTCTTGGCACGACCTGTCCAAACGAAGGTTGCGCGGGAGATGATGTCACCTTGCAGGGGGAAAAATACTTCTCTCCAACTCAACATGGGCGAAGGGAAATCCTACGTAATTGTTCCTCTCGCAGCAGCTGCACTTTCTGACGGCCACAAACTGGTTCGAGTAATCGTGCTGAAATCATTGTCTGCTCAGATGTTCCAGCTTCTGGTTGAACGACTAAGTGGCCTTGCACAGAGGCGCATTTTCTATATTCCATTCTCCCGCGCTCTTTCCATCGGCTCATTGAAGGTGCAAATGTATCGTGATCTGATGCAAGAATGCATGGACACCAAGGGCATCTTGGTCGTGCAACCGGATCACATCTTGTCGTTCCAGTTGACGGCCGTTGACCGTCAGCTGCTCCCTCAGTCTGAAGCTGCCGAAGATATACTGCGGACTCAGCTGTGGCTCGATAATCATACACGCGACATCCTGGACGAAAGCGATGAAATTTTGCACGTTCGCTACCAACTGGTGTACACCATAGGCCTCCAAAGGTCTCTTCAGGGTCATCCCGACAGGTGGACAACTACACAACAAGTTTTGAGTCTTGTCTCAAAGCACGCTACTCGCCTTAAGAGCGAATTTCCCTCTCACTTAGAAGTGTCCATTCGCCCGCACGGAGTGTTCCCCTTCATTCGAGTTTTGCACTCCACAGCAGGTAAAAAATTAGTTCAATGGATCGCACAGGATGTCATTAGCGGGGCGCTTGAAAACATCAGCTTCGACCAAGCACCTCTCTGCGTCAAACAAGCAGTCCACCAGTTTATTGCAACTGAAAAGACGACGCCCATACGAGGGGAACAGATGTCAAGCTGCCTTACAGTTTCCGAGCTGCTGTCACGCTTGGCCCCAAAGTCACGAAGGACCGCCTAGTACAAGGTTCGTGATTCCAGAGCTCGTGCACGTCGGTCTTGATATTAACCTATGACAAAGGATGCATGCGAATGCGTAAGCTGGGCAATGGGCAATCAGTAATGTTTTTCGCTCCAGCTGAAGTTGACCGGAGTATTCGTTCGGCAATTGAGAAAGCTGATACCGACAGTGTTGATGTGTCAGATATCTTGCTCTGGGCAATGTTCGAAACTTGCAATGATATTGAGATGTGTACATTATCCTGGATTCAACAGCGATCGGACTTCAATACACGGCATTCTGCACGGACTCAATTCTCGCACGCCCCTACCACTTCGATTCTATCCTGAAGTCAGCCTGGTTGCAGCCAGAGGAACGTTCATTAGAGGAATTGTACGCGCCACGCAGTTCTTCAAAGGTATCCCAGGTTTTCGATCTAGACATCCAAAGGAAGTGCAAGGAACTCGGAATCCTCTCAGCTCCCGAGAGGATGATGGACGAGGAGCAGGAAAGGGAGGTAATCCACGAGGTGGAGACAGAACGTCAAGTGGAAAGACCACCCAAGGTAGAACCTGCAGTTCAGAACATGCATGTACACGTTCGTCGATTCGTGAAGTCCGGCAGAATTGTCGCGGGTTCTCCAGCGTTCATTCAAGTGCTATCCAGCCTTGTCGACACTACTGCTGAATTTGATGAGGGCGATCGGTGGACACACAATATTTTAGTCACCCGCGACTTCGCTCGCACAGTGGGGACTATCCCTGGCGTCCAAAAAGTGGATGATTATCTGCGGCCCGTCAATTGGATTGTATCCAGTGACGCTTGGTCACCCAATTCTGGTAGTCATGAGCCCGCATGAAGTGGACACACTACTACCTGATATCCGCAAGAGCAAGGTAGTCCACCTGTGCATCTACACTCCTCGCATCATACAAACGATGCAGGCATGCGGCAACCTTCGACTCTACTGTGTTCCTTCGGCCCCACGCTTGACACCATCAGAACTGCTTGTCTGCCAGCTCAACCTTTTTGCGGCCCAACTCTATTTTTCCGATTACAACATGTATCTGCACACTTGCAGCTTCTTAGGACTCAATGCGCCAGATTTGGAGGGAGAGGACTTGGTAGTCGACGACGACGGGTTCATCGAGATGCACAATCGCCCTTCTGCGAGAGCATCATGCGTGTTCGAGCGATCCCAGCTTCCTCCACTGAAGAAGTTGTTCGGGATGAGAAGGAAAGGCATGGGGTATCAACCAACTCATCTCGGAAAGATGCTCAATGGCCGCATCCTAACTGAGAAGGACTTGCTCAAATGAATCCCAGGTCTATCTGGTGAGTTTTAGCGTCTCTCCGCCAGGGACCTGACTGACTGTACATAGTTCTGGTCAACGGCGACTGAATACGACATCAACATTGACCTCGTTGTAATATTAGTATATGTGACGTTCTCCGTACATGTGATTGTAGGCGAATCTGAGAGCCCCCGTGTTTTATTGCTTGAAAGAGTACTCCCATGTCAATCTCAAGACTTGAGATTCAATGCACCAGCGAGCGAGCCATTTAATATTATTAAGTCCGATGCACTGCACGAGTCTCGCGACAGGAAAATACGATTGACGCATTAGCGCAAGACACAGCGAAAGAAATAGAGATACAACAAAGATGAGATAGTTTGCGTACGCTGCAGCATTAACGACCATTTGTACTTGGGAGAGGCGCACAACAAACCAAAAGCACGAGACGAGCCAGCGTGAGGAGTCGTGACTGTAGGATTGGTATACCCGGTGTCGTAGCCTGATAGCTACTGTTTGGAGTAGGTTGTGTTGTGGACGTCGAAGTAGCAGCAGGCTGAGATTGTGATGCCTGGCCATGCGATTGGCTGTTCTGTTGCTGCATTTCATTTGGCCGCGGAGCAGCAACCAAAGACTACAGCGGAATTATTGAGCCACGGTGAATGAAAAGCGCATGCGAGGAATGAATACATTTTTGTCCCGTACCGCAGCGACTTCGACAGTGCGAGGACCATGACGAGAGAAAATCCCCAAGTTGTCTTGTGTTTGTCGAAGTTCAGTTGCTTCATTGGTGTGGGAGTGAGGGCAATGGAAGAGCGACGGAATACGGGCGAAGAACGCGCGTGGACTCCCAATAGAGGGTGCTAGAACGCAATGGGAGGAAGGGGCGATGTGGAGGACTGATTACAAAAGGTGAGAACAAGAACTGATTAAAAATGCTGACCACGCACATGAATGTCGCCTGGCATGCCATCGAAAAACCTTGGGGGTATTCGACGGGTAGGAATAGGTGGACGCCGCGTAACATTAATGCTCTAGAGTGATGTTCTTATGTAAAATGGTTGAAAACATTAGAAACATGTCACATACGTTTGTTTATTGGCGACTTTGCAGCTGCCACCTGTAAGTGGGAGATTAGTGTGGATTTGGCTGAAGAGCTGTGAGATTTACACGGGGAATAGGTAGGAGAAGGTCTTCAAGGCCAGCATTTTTGAGGATAGCCTCGATATCCCATGCGTTCACATTGTTGTTACTGACAGTGACTAGTACTTTTCCATCGATGGAAAAGGCTACGTATAGTACACTCTCTTGGCCATGGCGGAGGAGAGGTCCGACTGGGAGGTTTGTGTCGAGATTCCACAAAGACGCTACTCCACCAAAAGTTGCACCGACAAAGAGGCGGTTGTTCTGAAACAGGGAAATGGCGTTGACAGGCGCGTCAAACCCCTCGTCGGAGATCGGAGTGGGGATCTGGCGCCAAGTGGCAGTGTCGAATATGCTACTTGGGCCCCATGACGCGCAGATGAGTTTCTTTCCATCCGACGTCCAGGCCAACTTGAGGGGGAAAACAAAACTGTGTTTGATTGTTGTGAGCAGTTTTCCCGTCTTTGCATCCCAAATTTTTACTCCGTCATCTTCACTTGTCGCGTGGTCTCCGCTGGTCGCAATTTTTGTTGAGTCAGGGTGAGTATATTACCGCTGATATGTAGCGATGCCCAGTCTTGATTGGACCCAGGACTGTTCTGTCGCTCTTGACATCCCATACTCTTGCTGTCCCATCAGTGGATCCGCTTACGACTCGCTCACCATCTCCACTCCAGCACACTGATTCCACCCAATAAGGGTGCCCCTCCCAATCAGTGTCCCCTTTCCATTTAGCAATGACCTTTCCCGTCTTGACGTCCCACAACCTCACCATCCCATCAAAACTCCCGCTTGCCACAGTGCTGCCGTTTGGGGACATTGTTATTGTAACCATGCCTGCTTCATCCACCCCATCTCGCCAGTCATCGCCGATCTGTATCCCGCTCTCCAGGTCCCATAGTCGGAGTGATCCGTCTTCCGAACATGTGATGATGCGTCGTCGTTCATCACGCAGGTGCACAACACCCCTCACCCAACTAGGATGACCTCGTATCGTCTGGAATGGCATGACCTCAGGCGTCTCTCTGGTTGGGGATGTCATTGTCGGTGCTCGGAAGCTCAACTACGACAGACTGTCGATAGTGTGCGCGAGATAAGCTCGCAGGGATCGACTTTGGATGAGAATGGGTTGTCTGGCAATAGCCAAGATGATTGGTGAGTTGACGGGTCTATCATTATCAATGAAACATGAGGCAAAGCTCATAAGAACGCCTGCTTACATGAATTCAGTCCTAATTTGCAGGACGGCTTCAGGACTATGTATACAGGCCCAGTGATCCCAGATTTCGTGAGTGATATCATATACAGGTCGCCGGTGAGTGGGTCAGCTATACAGCATATAGAGTGCCACTCACGATAATCACCTGTTCAGACTGACTTGAACAAATGACGCTACGGTCGCCTGTAAACTGAGAAGGTGGGCGTTGGGTTTAGAGTTGCGCAAGCTGGCCATTTAAGTCATGGCCTATGTGCGGTACGTATTCCGCGTGTCATCCTCGTGTCATCCTCGTGTTCGTCTCACAAAATACTGTATAGACGAAACGCTCAGGTTTGTCGCCAGCACTGCGTGCATTTTCCCATATGTAAGGGACTACATTGATGACGGCGACAAAGTTACAATTAATTGTGCACTGCGGAGCTTGTGCAGGGCTTTACTGGGGTCGAGCGGTGAATTCGAGGAAAGTGGGACTGGATAAGTTACACAGGGAAGTTCGACGACGTAGTTCGTTCCAACCGGTTATTGCGCGTTCAATATGGCTTCCGACAACCCATCTACCACTGTGGTCCATGCCCGATCAACGTCGTCATATAGTCAATCTTTCCTGAACAAGGCACGATCCAAAGGAGTCGTCTTCATCCGAGCACATGAACTGTGTCAATATTGTCGATTGAATGCGGAATGCCAGAAATTCATTGTCGGAGAGCGCGTCGTCGTAGCCACCATCGCACGCAGTAATCCACTCTGGGGTACCGATCCATCCTTGGGTTTAAAGTAAGTTTCGTGGTGTAAAGTGTAGTGGACGTTATGAGTTCGTCACTAATGTCGTGCTAGTAGCCTGACATGGACATCGGACGGAAAGAAGCTCATATCCGGGTCAACTTGAATCTCGATCAGAATGTTCGATACAGTCACTTGGCGGGCTCTCGGTCCGCGCCTTTTCCTCGACTCGAGACCACCGCCTGCTTGCGAGTACATCAGATAATACAACACGTCTATGGAATATCGACACAAACCTTCGACCCCTCCAACACCCATAGGATGTGCACTGCGTGGCCTTTTCCACTGACGGAAAGTTGCTAGCCACTGGTTGGGAGGACAATTTGGCGTAGGACGTACGTATCGTGCTTTTAAACCTTTCATTCATTGTGACATTAATGCTTCTGGGCGGATGATGCGCAAGGTACAACTCAGCTTTGGGATGCTCATTGACGTCATAGGGATACCTAATTGATGACATTCCAGATAGTGCCCATGTATTCTGACTTTTATGAGTTAGTCCTCCGCACCACGACATCATCCAACTGACAATGAAACGCCACAACTCCAGCAGCGCTCAAGACGAAATTCCATTTCTCATCACGGCCGTAGTCTCGTAGGAGTTTCTGCTCAACAAGACAAACGGGTATGTCTCTTTTGCTCTGTCCTATCGCTTGGATCTGGTAATTTATTCAGGCATCAGTTGTTACTCCGCGGCCGGGACCACCGACTGTTTAGGCCAGATGCATCAATAAACCCAGATGGTGGGTCCGTATTGTGCTGCTTCTCTGTTGCACGTCTACTGCTACCGGCGACCATCATAGACAGCCGTCATCTTATGATCTAGTTCATTCATAGAGATGAGTGTGATATCGTCTACTAGACATAAATATTTCGCTGCTCTATCCATGATGACAATGTCTATCTATGTGTTCCCGAGAAAACTGTAACCAATGTTCTCGGGAGTGGTATTCCTGCAAGCGACCAAATAATCAAGTTCCGAGTGTACAGTGTCCAAAATGTGTGCATAGAAATGAAAATTCTCATATCCGGAAAAGTAAATGAAGAACGCAAGAAAAGCAAGAAGTCAGTCAAGTAGCGCAAGAGGCAGGGTCATGGGTGACAAAGTCCAGTAAGCTAGTGAGCAACACATGGACAAGGATAAATATCATAAGAAGTCGTAACATGCATCAAGAAGAGGACATCTCTGCCATGATCTCCTCCATCTTGTACCTTTTTAAGGCAGCATGGAATTTGACATACCCGTCGAAAAAACTGATGTAGGCGTCACAGGCCTCGGTATAAGGTCTTAGGCACTCGAGGATATTATGATGCGCTTGCACGGTTTTCTCGACGATTTCATGCAGAACATCCTGTTTGGTCAAAGCACGAGAGGCTGCCACGCGTGACAGGTAGTTCGTGGTGTCGCCTTCAATTTCCTCTTTGTAGAATGATAGTATATCGCTGAAGAACAACAGGTCAGTGAGAAGTCTAATAGGACATGATCGGCGTATTTACTTCGCATAATTGATGACAATGGCCAGATCCGGCATGCATTGAACATATTCCCGAGGTGGGAGCGTGGAAGGGAAATAAAGAGTGAGTATGCAGTTTGCACGCCTGATAGCAGCCTCATATAATCGGGATAGGATTGAGCCTCTGCTGAAATCTGTCATTACAAAGGGTCAGCAATCCGAGCTGGCTTTGTTCAAAGAAATATCATACCTGCATGTCCTTGGTTTCGTTATCAAGCATGATAGAAGAGATAAAATCGATTGCGGAGGCGACAATCAAATTTGACACGGGTGAAGGATAATGGTGAACAATGTCCCGCAAGAGCGCATCAAGCGCACTTAGGACTGGATTGCCTTGTGACTGATTGCTCGCAAACCGCTCGTAGAAATTATGCACGTGCACCAAGTCTTCTCCCTCGTCCATCATATCGTCGATGCAGGTGACGAGGACAGTGAACAGGCAGATCCACATCCTGGTTGCACGGTCAGGAATGTAGACGTAAGTATTGAACATGGCCACACCAACGGCCATGTATGGGCGGAGGGAATATTTTTTTCATCCATCGGAAAGCCACGGTTGACAGCCTCCTGGTAACATTCAGAGTATAATGCTTCATCAATGACGATGTTCGCGATGTTTCGCATATGACAAGCCACATCGCCGGAGGAAATTGGCGATAGCTTGGCGGATGCTTGCCAGCCTGACCTAGATTCGATAGATTAAGGTCCAGACATGGAAGCGGGAAATGGAGAACGTACCTCGCCATTGCTAAGAGTGAGTGTGGTTGGGCTGTTACTTGTCATTGCGAGAATATTTTGCGACAGAATGGTTGAAATTCACCTGGTACTTATACCCTCAGGCTTGGCCATGGTAAGTTACGAGTGACATTGACCCCTATCCAAAGTACTAGTTGTGAACTTCATCGTCAGTCCGCCGTTGCAGCCGGCCGTGTTTCAAACCTTATTTGTCGGAGATTCGGCTCACAGTACCTCATCCCGAATTCATTGCTCCCACCTCGCAGCTAGTACAACATCCAAGAAAAGTTACATTCTTGTACAAAACATCATTTCTAGGTACTCCGAGTCTGCATATGCCTGAATTTTTTCGACGCACGTTGACCCCAATGGCTAATGAACTTTTTTTAGGAACCGTTGAAATATTACAGGGAATGACAGTAGCAATTTAAAACTCAATTGTGGTGCAACTTTGACTTGCACCACTGAGTACTGAGTCCCAGTGAAAAACGGTCCTAGCCATATCTACGGCAAACGACGGAAAATATTAGTTATATACCAATAATATTGCGATAACTACGCAAATCGATAAATTAAAAAGTGCGGTTGATCCATTGAGCAAAGATTCGTTGAACATTGGTTGAACATGCTGAAATTTTTTCAACTTTGACTTGACTTTGCTCAATATTTGAATGTTTGAACATTCTTGCGCATCAGCTGCGCACGCACCATCACTTCCATGCGATGACGTCGATATGCAGTGGACCACTTATGATATATATTGGGACATTCCATCCATACTCGGTTCACCTCAGCCTTCTTCTTCCCTTCCATCATCTCGTCCTCCTCTCAGCAAAATCTCGCTGTTGACCTCAACCATCCTGGTACCGTCTGATGCATGATTTTCTCGCTTAGCTACTGCACTAACAAGATAAGTACTAGACCTTTTCACGGCCCAATCCATCTGCTGATCCCACCCAATCGACCGTAGTCATCCAAGTAAATGCTATTTACGGCGCATATATGCACACATTTCGAACATTGTGAGTTATCTGACATTGTCAGGTTCATTCACTGACTGTTTTACATCATCGCTAGCTCACTACCATTGTCCCGATTATCGACACGTCCAGCGGCTTCAACAGATACACCGTTACAAGACAGTCGATTGGTAAGTTCCATTAAAAGCTACCCAATATACTTCAACCGATATCTATTGCCGTAGAAACACGAGAACGAGGCAGTTGTCATTGTAAGTACTGTCTGCTTGCCTGGCAAGCACATCTAACAATGATTTGTTTCAGTTAAGGACTCCCATGTACCAGAAGCTGATGGGCTACGTCATCCTGACGCACGGGTGGGGGTTGCCAGTGGTATATAGAGTACACTTTTATTGCATTTGTAATTTTTTCGCATACAATTGTTTTTGGTCGATTTGGGTTGATGTGCGAATATGCAAAAGGTCAATTGGGAGCTACTACAATATACTAGAATCTACGCTACGCAAACACGCTCGATTCTGCAATATCTCGCTCGATGCGAGTCGCTGAAAATATCATATAAGTCTCATCCGTCTCCGCAAATCGACGCAAATATTGTCGCGATATTTCGGTCGTTTTTCCGTCGATACGGCTAGGACCGTTTCTCACTGGGACTGAGTGACCATGCACATGCTTCAAACTTGTACACATAACACGACACTGAGGTCTGTATCATATACGGCCATGTTACACTTTCTCCCAAACTAGTTTACCACAGTTCGAGCCAGGCAGGCCGGTCCGAACTACTTTCCGGTCCCTGAGTACTAGTATAGTTCGTTGCACCGAGCCGAGAGATGCTCTAAGACTTAAGTAACCGTGACAGCATCAAATTTTGGCATTAAATATGGCAAAGCGGTGTGTTGAAACGCAACCTAACGCATTTGCATGTTAGTTCAGTAGCTGTGAGCTCTAGTTTGCCATGACATCGGATGCGATGTCATCGTTGCGATGACTTGTCAACGTTATATCAGGTCCGGTGGTTCAAACGTTCACGAGCTGTATGATCTCCCGTTTCATTAATCCCTCCGTGTCTTTCGAGTCAAGGCGTATTGGTTATTGCCTCCAGTAAGTTTGTTGCAACTTGCCTGTACTAGTTTAATAATTTTTTGTTCAACATCTACGTTCAGTCGTCAAATCACCATGCAAGCTCTCAAGTTCGAAAAGACTGGGTCCCTCGATGAGTTGTCTCTAGTTAACATCGACAAACCCATATTATGTCCTGGCGAGGCTCTCGTACGCGTCAGAGCTGCCGGTATCAACGGGGTAAGCCTACGGCCTGGGTCATATCATGCTGTAATAGTGTTCTCACCCATCAATAGTCCGATGCTGCAGGCATTATAGGCACTCTTCCATTTGTGACCACCCCGCGCATTCCTGGCAGAGATTTCTCCGGGGAAGTCGTTGAAGCGCTGGACGCATCCGGCACCTCGAGTCAAGAGTGGATTGGAGCAGAGGTGTGGGGAACAGGAAGCGATAGAGGCTTCACTTCGGACTGGAACATTTTCTCAGTGCGTATTTTACATGCATTTGTCTCTTGTTTTTCAGACGGACTGGCTCTTCAGATACGTCGCCAGTCCCTATCGCTGCATTAAGCCGGAAGCCAACATCTCTCGACCATTCCAGGAGCTGGTAGCATGACCCTACCATGGTTATGTGCCTGGATTACAGTCGACACTCTTGCGAACGTCAAGGAGGGAGACAATGTTATTATCATTGGTACATGCTAATCAATCGATGTACTCTATTTATTATCCCTAATTGCAATCCTCTAGGTGCTCGAGGAGGCATTGGCTCCGCAGCAGCACAACTCTGCAAAGAACGCGGGGCACGCATATTCGGGACGTACACCTCGCTCGCCAAAGTGACTCCCCCATCATACGTCACGCCCATCGAACTAGGCTCTAAAAACGCCATCCGCGAGGCCATCGCCAAGGCTGGACTGCAGAATAAAATTGACGTTTTGCTAGACTGCGCCGGCTACGACCAGCCATTCAACGACGCGATTTTCACGATGACAGCAAACGGTACCGGTCGTGTCGTTGTCATGGCTGTCCATGCAAAGGACGGACTGTTCCCCGTCAACCTGCGGTCATTTTATACAAAGGCCCTTACGTTAAAGGGCATGAAGTCGAGTATTCTGGGCCCATTGGAGGTCAAGGAGGTACTGGACGACCTTGCGAAGAAAATTGATAGTGGGCTGCTAGAGGGGCCGAAGGAGGTCAACGAAGTTGATATGAGGAACATGGACAATGTGAAAGGTGCTCTGCAGGAGATTTTAACTCGAGCTTCTCATGTTCGTTCAGTGATTGTTCCCTGAACGTTCCCGATGTATATATTACCAGCATCTGTGCACTTCATCGTATTTGAGGAATCGCATGTTCACAATATGATATCTTATGCAAGAGAGAAATGAGTGGAACGGGAGATGCCCTGCGCTAGTTCAAATCACCTTTCTGCACCTTTCTGCACAACTGCAAGCAGATTTATTAGAGCTTTCGCCAGAATTCGGCCTGAGACAGCACCAACTTTGGACTTAGTCCAGGCACAAATCACCGAGAAGCTGCGCTGATGGCCGAGGAAAATGTAGAAGGTTCTCGATATCGAAGCCAGGGAATCAAACCGATCCATAATGAGAACAAAGAGTTGAAAGACACCTCCATCCAACAGCGCGTCTTTTTATTCTGAGGATACAGTGCTGTCAGCGCAGGCTTTGTAGAACTCGTGGAGAAGAAGTGCCTGGAACACAGAATACACATCACTGATGTCAATTGAGTACCCCCCGTTTCCATCCACGCTTTGAAAGTTCGATCATCATAGTAAAGGCAGGCCATCGAGGGATAAGCATAATTAACCATGCATAACCAGGCTGTCTCTAATCAGCCGTAGTTATGCATAAATATGACACTTTAGCCTGACATGGTGATGTGCTGGAGTAGCTGCTCGACACGAAAACAACGATGTTCAAGTTCATGCACTCATGCAGGATAGATAGTCTGAATCAGATTCGAGCACTGGGAAGCACCAACTGTCAATTGTATGTGATGGGATACATTCTGGAAGCTGTGAAGGCAAGAGTCGGACACATATATGCACTGAGGCACTGGGAGGGTATAAGTACTGTCGAGAACGGCGGGTATGACAATAGGATGCATTCTTGCCATAACGGTGATAGAGGTGGGGGGGCCTCGTGCCTGGGCGTTTATGAAAACGAGGCTGGAAGCAGCATAAAACACACGATACACGCACCTCTGCATCTTAGAGCAGGAGACCCACAGTCCCTCCCAAGTCCACTTCGACCGTGTTCAACGCTATCAACCTCTAGTAAATGCCAATGCTCATTCCAATCACTTCACCCCTGCGAGAGTTCAAAGACCATGAAGGCTGGGTAAGGGCAGTCGCGGTGTTCCCCGATAAACGACGGATGGTTACAGCCTCAGACAAGATACTTCGTCTGTGGGACTTGGAGACAAGTGTTGTGTTGAAGAAAATGACGGGGCATCACAACGAGGTGTGGAAATTGGCGGTATCACAAGATGGGCAATTGATAGCAAGCGGTGATGTTGGCGGAGAGTTCATCGTGTGGCACGGAGAAACTGGGGAATCGCTTACCCAACCCATTAAAGCCCACTCCTATTTCATCGACTCGCTGGATTTTTCTCCCGATGGGACAGTGCTGCTCACTGCAGGTTCATGGGACCAAACACAGCTATGGAATACCAAAACCTGGCAGCTGCAAGGAAATCCAATTGAAGGCGGTAGTTATGTCCAATGCGTACGGTATTCGCCGTCAGGCAAACTTCTTGCCATCGCAACAAACGATAATATCGAAATATATGATTCAGGCACAAGGAAACGCGTCACATCCTTCAAGGCTCACACATCAGATAACAGGTCACTCGCGTGGACGCCTGATGGGACACGCCTTCTCATAGGCGGCAATAAGGACGATCCTACCATACGCGAATGGGATACATTGACCTGGCAGCAGGTCGGTGATCCCTGGACGGGCCACACTAGCTATATCCGTGCCATTGCCATCCATCCTGCTGGTACACTCGTCGCATCCGCATCTGAAGACAGTCATGTCCGTCTCTGGAGGCTCTCAGATCAACAAACCGCTGCCATCTTCAAGCGCTTATCTTCGATGCAATGCGTCGCTTTCTCCGTGGACGGCAACCACATCCTCAGTGGAGACGAAGATAAGATGATCTCAGAGTGGGCAGTACCTCAGGGTATTCATCCAAAGGCACGTTTCTATCCTTGACTCATATACCAGAAATTAAGCATATTTCGTGCAGATCCTAGCCATCACGACAGCCCGCATCGCATGCATACATGGAGACTTATCTACTGCAGAAGAACTACTCACCCAAGATATCAACGCCAATAACAACCATACTTCCTACGCCCATCGCTCATTCGTTATGGCCCGAAAACACGATTGGGACCGCGCCCTTCAGGATGCAATCAAAGTGAGACATATACGCTGATCATGGCCCCCTTACAAAATACTAACTCGATGGTGACATAGTCCGTCAACATTCAGCCTTCATTGACAGGTTATATGTCCAAGGGTATCGCCCTCTGCGGAAAAGGCCATGTCCGGGATGCGAGGGCAGCATTTGATGTTGCATCCATGTACACTAACCAAGATTCAAAAACCATTCATTTCCTGCTCTTGATCAAGGTATGTTACGGTTACCTCGCAACTCTCCGCTTTATTCATGTATTTCAGGTCGTCGCCCTTTTCAATGCTGATCAACATGACGAGGCAAACCTGCTCCTCAAAGAACTCACTACTGGTTGTCCAAATGCCGATACTCTCGCGTGTCGTGTCGTGCAAGTAAGTATCATCCATGCTTGGTCATCAACACTCATCTTTTCAACTCGCACATTAGGCATACCTATGTGTTCAACTCGGACTCAAAGCCTTGGATGGCGCGCGTCATGATGAAGCGGCCGACCACTTCACTGCTGCTATCAACTTCATGGCTTTCTCATCAAAATTTATTTATAAAATATACGAGGACTTGGTTGTGGTGTGTTAAGATGATGTATACATCATGCTTTTCATAACTGAGTGTCTTGTCCAGCTCTTTGGCTGGGACCTGGAGTCCTTGTGGGAAAAAGCCCACCAGAAACGGTGTGATGCACTCCTTCTGGCAGGTAAACTTCAAGATGCCATGAAATCATACCGATACATGATGGATAATATCGATGAAACAACGAAGGGCAGATGCCTAGAATGGTCCAATGGCAAGTCTGGAGTTCGTAATGTTGTGCAGGCTACAATCCTCACCCTCATTTCACTCAGCTTTCACGGAAAAATGCAGCGCGCCCTTTCTTACCAGCGGAGATGCTGCCCTCGCCGCAAGCGATTTTGACAGGGCTATTGACTTATACTCGGCGGCGATTGACATAACTTCTCCATCCAATACTGTCTTTGCAAATCGTAGTAAAGCAAAGTTGGGGAAAAGGCTATGGATGGAAGCACTTCTCGATGCGCAGAAGGTGCGATGGCATTTATCGTTTTTAACCGGTACTCATTGTGGTGACACAGGTCATCCAGCATATCCCTTCGTCTTATATTGGATACCAGTTGAAGCATGCAGCGTTTCATGGCGCACAACGCTATGATGAAGCAATCCGGGCCTTCCGAATCATGCTCTCAAAATTGGATCATGCTCCAGATACTGAGACACGAAGTAAGCCCCAATAACTCATGTGTCAACATGCTTAAACTGTTACTGTTTCTGCAGAGTTGCGCCAGCAGTATCTCAGGCCATCCGAGGCGGACCGTGCTATTCGAGGTGTCATTGATGTTCAACTTGATAGCGCTCCACTGCGCGTACTCGACACCACCACTGGTCTCTTATGCAATAGAGAGGCGCAGATACGTATCTTCAAAGCGAGCATGGAATACAAGGAGCTTGTATCATCAACAATCACGCATCCAGACTTCCCAATGAAGCACATCGAAGAAGTAGTGATGACGTACTTCCGATATGCCATGCTATCACACAGGTGGGAAGGCAAGGAGCCGCTGCTGCAGGATATCCAGGGCAAGGTCGTCTATAAGTTGAATCCGGTTGGCGGCATCACGAAATTGCAGTCCTTCTGCAAAACTGCTCGTGATTTGGGGTATCGCTGGGCATGGAGCGATACATGCTGTATTGAGAAGAGTGACAATGTTGAGCTCCAAGAATCAGTCAACTCCATGTTCGTTTGGTATCATCACTCCGCGCTCACGGTCGTATACCTCTCGGATGTTCCACCTTCGTCAAAGCCTGGCGCACTGGCAAAGAGCGCTTGGAACACACGCGGATGGACGGTTCAAGAATTCCTCGCCCCCAACATCATTCTATTTTATCAGAAGGATTGGACTCTTTATCTCGACGATCGCACTCCAAACCACAAGGAGTCGGCCGTGATCATGCAGGAGTTGGAGTACGCGACGGGCATAGACCGACGGGTCGTGGTGGCCTTCCGTCCCGGGATGAGAAACGCCCGAGAGAAACTTCAGTGGGCGTCGACACGTATTACCACATTGCAAGAAGACATCGCATACTCGTTATCCGGCGTCTTTGGCGTCCGCCTGCGTGTTGATTATGGTGAGAAGAAGCAGAATGCGCTCGGGCGGCTCCTGCAGGAAATCCTAGCTCAGTCGGACGACATTACTGCCCTGGACTGGGTCGGGAAGTCATCGGAGTTCAACAGCTGTCTACCGGCGGACATCACTTCATACGAAGCTCCACCATGCAAGCTGCCATCTCTATCTGAAGATGAGATTCAGATATCGGTCTCCTCGCTTCGGGGTGTTGTGCCTCTAGAGTCGGCTTCGAAATTGTATCAGACACTCGACTACATGAGCGCTCCCCGTTTCGCGTACCGCCGGTTGCACCTGCCTTGCGTCGTATTCCCAGTCACAGCAGCTAGGCGGAGACCAGGTCGAGACCAGAACACATATTCGTATGAACTCAAGTCAGACAGGCTTCATGACCTGCAGATCGCCACAGAAGACAAGTTCACCCCATTCTCGCCTGCAAGACCGCCACCTGCCTGGCAGACGATCTTGCTTGTCCGTCCGTGGAGTCGCGATCTCCTTGAGTTGCATGACTCTGCAGACGATATGCAGAGCGTGGAGGATCGTTCCGTGTCTGGAACTTCGTTGGACGATTCACCCGCTGCACAAAACGAGCCGGTTTATTCGGATTCCCACTCGCGAGCATTACGATTGATAGTTCACCTTGGACAGCCTTTTAGTGCATTTTTGCTAGCGCGGCACCGTGATGGAGAATTCAAGAGGATCGCATCGGATCATGATATCATTGCAAGGGTTAAAGACATAACTTCTGTTAACAACATGGACATCAGAACACTAGAAATACTGTAGCTGTGTGGAGTCTCTTAAAAATCTCTGAGCGGGTTTCGTTTATACCATAGTAATCTTCTAAACCTGATGTTTACTTCTTGCCTGCCATTCGTCTCTTCATCCTGCCAACTATATACTTCAACCGGCTCTTGTCGACCGCCAAATCCGAGTGGTGGTCAACCGCCAAATCCGCGCAATTCTTTAAAAGAAGCTTGCGCAGAATGTCGCCCGACTCTGCAATACGCCGAGTGATGTTGTCTGGGAAGCTTGGGCGTTCCCGAAGCGCTGTGACGCAAGCATGGTCTGCGAAATACATACCCTTGAATATTTCCCTGTTGGTATCCCACCAACTCTCCATGCGAGTCTCTTTCTCTAATCCTGTGACGACGACAACAATCGGAACCTTCTTCTGGCAGATTCCAGAGTAAAACTTGTTATAGGCCTTATCGAGGGCGCGAGGGGCAATCGTGCTGTACATACAGTACACCAGAAGGCTGATTCCATCCATCCTAGAGCTCATGAGCTCATGCAACAAACTCTTCAACTGTTCTTCCGCTTTCGCCGCCGACACTGTGTCAGTCCCCAAGTTGAGACCTGCGGTATCAATCAGGACGAATCGCTGGCCTGAAATTTCTACTGGATAGGGTTGAACGGTAGAAGTGCATCCATGTGCGTCATCGGATGTCTTCGCGAGCTGGTTTTGCGCGATTGTGTTAATGATGGAACTTTTCCCTGAACCGGTTTCGCCGAATATGACGATATTTCGTTTCCGCGGGCGCGTCTGCTATATTCAATCAGTAAGCTCTCCTTGCCTCAAAAAGTAGAGCACGTACTTCGTGGTGGCTCGACGATGCGTTTGGAAGTGGCACTGGTGGTGATGGTGCCGATCGTCTCTGTTCATGTCTCGAGATGCTAGTCGATCGAACTACTCATGGTGATAAAACATATCCGCCTCAGCGCTTATTTGACATGGATGTAACTTACGAGAATTAGCGTCAAACGATGTTACGAGACCAATACCAAGACTCGGGAGCGATGAACAAGCAGTGTCGAACACCGTTACGGAACCAGTGCTGCTGAGGCTCGGGAGTGACAAACAAGAACTGGAAAAATGAATATTCAAACTTGTGAATCTGCGCAGATTTGGACCCCTACGAAGATGTCTGAGCTTCAGGCTCTACGATTACATTCGTCAGCTCGTGATCATGGTGGGCTCGCGGACTGTTGAGCAGGTGTTCTGTTATATAAAAGTCGTTTGAGTCGTCAGAATCATCGCGTGGGGAAGCTCCAGGGAAGGCGCCCTGCGCATCGTCACGAGGACCGTCAGGTAGGCTCGAAGAATCTTGAAGCTCAAGTGTGTAGATGGTCAAAAGCACCACGAACTATGCAGGCTGACCTGATGAGAAAAGCCTACGCATGACGAAGTCGAATATTTCATTTGCTGAAGGCCGAAGTTCAAATCTGAATTGCAGACATTTTTGAATGATGTCCCAATCTGAGTCCATCATTGCAGGGTGGCCATCGGGGCGCTGCGGACTACGGCCTTGGCATATCAAACCATAAATACGCAATTCCGGGTTTTGAGACTTGATCTCAGACCAAGGGGGCCGACTCGAGAGAATCTTGTTCGATAAGTCCTTGACCGAACATTTTATGACCGAACAACCAACTCACTTGAAGCATTACGCAACCAAAAGAGTATATATCCGTTTTTTCCAAAGGCAGGTCACCGACATCATCTGATAGAAGTTCTGGTGCTGCATAGCGGATTGCACCTGCGTGTATCGATGTCGCAGCTACATGTGACTGACCGAGAAAGGGCAGGACAATAGTGGAAAGGCCAAAATCGATTAGCCTCGCGTGACCTCCCTCGTCGATCAGTATATTCGCCTACAGTTTTATTAGTTTTTAAGGATACCCCAGCAGCTCCGAGCTCACCCCTGTTATATCCCCGTGCACGACAGGCACCGAGTGCACTGCACCCATGATAGGTTACCTGAACATCTTGAGAAAATATATGAAACTGACAGTAATGCAGTCCAGCGCTGACATCCTCTAGCTTCCAACTTCGAGTCAGTCTTGATAAGAGAAAGGGTGTTACGGGAATTCTGCTTACCATGCGTGAACGGTCCAGCACTGTTAGATCGTTGTGTTTAGATGCCAGGTAGACATTCAACGTGCCGTTGGGAATCCACGGAGTTACTATGCTGCGCAACTCTGGCCTCCTTCCAAATCCTGTCGCTGTACCCAACAACGGTACAATGTTGTCATGGCGTAGAATCTTCAAGATGCCAATTTCTCTGCTGATTTTCTGGATGATCCAAATGGCATAAGTAGTATGCGCTAATACATGTGGACCTCGTGTCTCTTACCCTGTTTATCTTTTCTGAATCATAATATTGCTCTGGATATCTGAAGGCCTTGATCGCGACCTTATGCGTTGATCGATTGGTGGGCGTAAGCCAGTGCATGATAAACGAGTCTAACACATGGACTAACGATGGCTGATATACCATTTGCATTGTAATTACATTTCCAGACATCGCCAAATCCACCTGATCTGATGTGGTCTTGAGTTGTTCGAGTGATAAAGGGTGTTAAATCGTTTAGCAAGTTCTCCACCCTACACAACAAGGTCAGTAAAGCAGATACTGCGTGCAGCACCGACAATGCGACCATACCCCATACCGCAATTCCTTATATTTATCCAATTAGCAGTATCGTGAGTGACGGTCGGTCAAAGAATGCGGATTCAGTTGATAGTCGTAGTAGTAGGCTAAGGCCAAGGTACTGTGTCACCTATTCTATTCCTCCCACACTTAGAGTTGGGGATGTGGCTGTGTTGTAAGGTTCTTATTTATAGCTTAGGTAAAGTTGAGCCCTACTATGTTCAGAACGCATACTTCTTGGCGAGGCACAAGTTCAACGAGAATGCGGTAGAAATCTGGGATGCAAAGACGGGTGAACTGCTCACAACAATCAATTAATCAAACACGAGAATTGGGCTTGCAACTTGGCCGGGACGTCTTATCTCCGCGTCATTAGCCCAGTCAAGATAGCCGCGACACAGCCACGTGGGAGCAGATCCCCTCGAGGGTCACGCACGAGCGCCTTTTCTAAATCATCACTACGACCGCCTCCTTGTGAGTGCGTCGAGTCTTAAACAGCGCATCTGTAGATTCTCGACACAAACCTCCCAGTCGGACCTCCCCTTCAGCATGACGAGGAAGTGAACTGCGCAGCCCTTTCTGCTGATGGAAGAGTACTAGGCTGTGCACCATACCATCACCCGGTGCTGTATTCAAAAACTTGCTGTACTCATACTTATAAGTGATTCTTTATTTCGATTAGACTTTTCCCTCATCGCCTTCGATGTTGTTCAAAGGCAATTACTGTAGACAATGAATGAGACGGGATTTCCGAAACACCTGCCGCATGTAATTATACAGAAAATTGTATCTCAGGGCATGTTACACAATGAAAGTGGGGAAATTTGACGCTGTGATGGGCTGGGTGACAACGTCCATGTACGTTTGGTGCGACCTAGACCAAAATCAATGAAGTCACGATTAATAGCTTCTTAGTAGCATGATGGCGATGTTCGCAATGTTCGTGTATAGGAAGCCACAGCCTTGAAGAAATCGACGATGGCCTATCGGATGCTCGTCATGGTACTTATCCCGAATGTGTCGGCGACATAGCTAGATGCATCCTATCACATCGGGACGTTTCTGTAATTAAGCCGACTCTGCTGTAATTGTAAATGAATGCCAAGCGTTAGATTATGGCTTTTAGTGTGTTTTAGTGAACCTGCAGCATATCAGGCCGTGCTTCTCGCTCTAGCATGTTCAAATCCAGAATCCTGGTTTTATTCACTCGTCCGCCACCGCTCATACTGGAAAATCGACACCCATGGATGTTAGATAGATCCAAACGCATATCCTGCCCCACGACAGAAAACGTAGCCGTGAAGGTTAAGCGTGCACAAATCATCTCGTACAATATACACCTCGCTCGACGAAGGACGCCGAGTAAGCCACCGGGTAAGGTGTTACGCCGTATACTCAACAGGTGTCATCTCGGACAGAGGAATTTGCATGGAGGCGTCAGATCTGCATGTCTGTCGCTTCATCTGCCAGAGATGGCGGTGCATATGCGTTGCGAGAATTGCAAGGATCACGAACTGGAAACTGTACGTGGGTGTGCATCGTTAGTAGAATTGCACAGGAGGTTGTGGAGGTGCATACTCATCCAATATACCGTGGTAGGAGTACTAGGTGCGCGAAATATCAACGACTCTATCGTAAAAGGTTTTCAGGAGATGTACGCACATGGAGCAACAGCGATGTGAATATGTTTGCTACTGAAAGCACTTCAGGAAAAAGAATGATCATAGATGAGTACGGAAAAACTGCGCGTGCGAGTGTAAACTCACAAAAACCACACGTATAATAGAATATGTTATGTTGCACCAGGACAACGTACAGACGGCCTGGGTTTGTCCGCCAGTTCTGTATGGCGCGTATGAGCGTGAGGGTCATGAGTCCTGGGGGAGCATCTGTCAGCGTGTGCTTGTACATATGTATGCTCCTGGTCACCCACCCAATTCGAATGCGGAAAGGAGAATAAATGGTATGAAGAGTCGGAAATTGGTCGAACTCTGGTAACATCCTGTGATACCCGGGATCGCGCTAACTGCATCTGTGAAAGTGAACAGAATTGTTTAACTGGTACTGGAACGTCATGGTGGAGGTGAGAGCGCGTACATGCTGCGGGAGCAGTAGTGGTGAAGGCAATCCCCATGGATGCTCCGATAAAAGTCTGGCTGATGCATTTACCACTAGCTTTGGTGTGATGAGTAGATTGGGAACTCACGAGAAAGGTAGACAGCACGGCTGTGAGCAAGATTCTATCGTTGTTCCAGAGCGCACATGTTCTGAGGGCGAAATATGCTGGATGAATTAGATGAAGAACATACATATCTTAGGGAGGAAGGACATACCCTCGGAGCAAACTACTGATAGTATGCCGAAACCTGTGAGAGAAAGTGGGTTGCCCTCGTCATGGCTGTGCATAGATGGATGTACCATACACGTACCTGTGTTAATATTGTCCAACACCCGGCATTTCTGGCGAAGTCATGCAGTAAGCGACATTCGTCTCTCAATCTCCACCGCATGTTCACGTACACCTGGAGTTTCATTCGGGATAAGACTCACTGCATGACAACGTGTTAGTTCATCTCGGACGATGTGCGCTGGAGCTGAACGCACAATACAGATTTATGGCGAGGAGGAGAAAGGGGACGTATCGCGTAACGATATAAAGGCCTTTCACCGTGGTCCAGTGTGAAACAAGCAGAAATCTCCACTTCGAACAAACTCGTATGAACATCAAAGCCGAGGCATATCACGGAACAAGTACATTACCTCTTCGTGAAACGAACAAATATAATCGTAGGTCTGGATAAGGGAGTTTAACAGCGGAAGAGAACTCGTCGGGACAAGCCTACCCAGCATGTAGTTATCGCAACTAAGTTGCAGTTAGTGGGACAATAAAGACAGTGTTCAGGCAGTACGCACTGTAAGTATACTGATGCGCAAATGGATTGCTTAATATTGCCCGCCCTCTTATCGACAAGAAAGAAACGCACCGCGAAGAACTGCAAACTCGTCGCTGCTGTGATATCATCAGCCGAATAGTCCGTCTGCATTTTCGGTCGTTCAAGAAGTAACAATTGACGGGTTTACCGCCCCTCTTGAACTCTTATAAGGACGCATATGTTATGCAATTAGGTAATTCTGGCAACATAACTTAAGTTTGATTCAGAAACTTGGGTGTGCTCATTGTACTTGTCCCTGCGTCTGAAGCAGCCACGTTGGAGGGACCTTCCAGGGAGGGGCTTTCAAAGCTCTAATCCGTGAGATCAATTGATCCCTGTATTAATACTTATTCGGCCCTCATTGGTTTTTTTTAGGAGGGTGTGACGAGAGCCATGACTCTGACGCTGAGCGCTGAGCTGTCGAGTTATAAGCGAGATGTCACAGTGCAGACAGTACTTTACGCACTGGACCGCATCAGTCAGTATTTACGCACCGGACCACATCAGTCAGGCCGATTTCCACTGCGTTCGACAAATGACAGGTGGACAAACGTGTTCCGCACATGAGTTCATTCATATTATGTAGCTTCTAATATATTAGAAGCCATCATGATAACCTGCAACTAGTATATGCGAATTCCTGGAGTGTTGTACTCCCTGAAGTCAGTAAACAAATAATTGGAGTCATGAGTTTGTACGCACCCTTCCTTTCATAGATTACTCAGAGGTTAACTGTTTAACAGGAACGTTCAAGTTGATGGTTGTAAAAATGTTTTTTAGTCGTGCTCGCTGTTCGAACGTTCGTGACTAGCCATGGTGACGTGACATATTTGTTTGGCAAAAGCTTAAACAACGCCTAACAACGCCTTGGCAAGCTATCAGTGAAGTAAACCTAAATACCTCAATCGAACTAACATTCGCATGCTCCTACGACAGGTCAAATACACTTTTCATTCATATAAAATCCCACCTAGCCTCTGAAACGATGGCGTCCGATGTAAAGACTAAGACAATCGATACATCAATTCTCACCCCCTCATAACCATGTATCAACCACAATAACTTCTCCCCAGTACCTCGAGGTCGCAGATTTGGCTTCACATCCAACTTCCAAGATACAGCCGCTGGCGCATACGCCGCGATCACCCCCAACTACTAATAAGGCCCGTCCACTACTCCCGCGTACCTCGAATCTGTGAATTCCTACACCACGACGGTCTAGTTTTCACTAGCCCATCGCGCGTTCTCCAATATGCTAGTGTTGTGACCGCACTACATTTCCCGTATGGAGTCTCAGATATAATTCCTGAACAATTCCATCAGGCACTACTCACTATGCCATAACGATAGGGCGGGTCAAAGTGTTTCCGGTCCGCATCAAGGTAGAAGCCCTGAATCCCCCACCCTTCAAGCAGTCTTTCATCGACAAGTCACAAGGTACGAAAGTGACTTATCTAGCAGTCGAGTGAGACAAATATGTCAGCAGTGTAGGTGATTCTGGATGTCGTCCTGTCATATCAGGGACATTTCATTAATTCCGTGGAGCTCGCTGTGCCTTGATGGACCTATAACATAATGCTCATTGTTGTCAGGCTGTACGTCTGGCTCTAGCACACTCAAACCCTGAATCCTGAATTCGCCGCCGCTTACAGTGGAAACTATGGAAGGCACAGAGACCAGGGCCATCCAAATGCTGCTGACGTCCCGCGACAGACTCATCCTATAAGTTAGGCACGTATAGCACGAACCATGCTCGACCTCCTGGACGGATCCCTTCGCTCACGGTCAATTGTAAGCAGCGTAGTCGAGGGTGAGAATGCGAAGGGACACTGTCTATTTGCAGAGACGAACGAAGATGTTGCCAATATTATTCTGATTTGCCTCTGCAAACACAGTATATCGTCGAAGAGCCGACCGAAGGAGAGTCCTTCTATGCTCCTCTGCCCCGCAACAGACTCGTCCTATAAGTCAAGCACATAGTGAACTCTACCAAATCCACCCCCACCAATCATCTCGTACAGCCCAAGCCCCGCTCCACGAACAACACCGAATCAACCACTAGATAGTAAGACATTACGTCGTAGAAGTTACAGGTGACATGTCAGACATTGGAATATACATAATGGCGCCAGAGTTATGTGCACGTTGGCTCATCTGCCAGAGATGGAGGTGCATGCGCGTGGCGAGGATTGCGAGCATCACGAACTGGAAACTGTACGTGGGGGTAAGTTTAGGGTATTGTTAGTAAGAATACGCAACAAGATGCGGAAGTGCATACTCATACAACAAGGCGGGGTAGGAATACTGGGGCACCAAACATGAATGGCTCGATTATAAAAGGCATTTGGGAGATTCACCCACCTGGAGGAACAATGATGCGAATATGTTCGTTACCGAGAGCACTTCAGGAAAGAGAAATGATTATGAATGAGCACGGAAACACGGTATGTGCAAGCGTCAACTCACAAAATCCACATGTATAATAGAATATGTTATGTTTCACCAGGGCAACGTACAGACGGGTTGGGTTTATCCGCCAGCTCTGTATGGCGCGTATGAGCGTGAGTGTCATGAGTCCTGGGGCGGCCATCTGTCAGCGCGTGTTGCATAGATATGCGTGACTCTGGTTACCCACCCAGTTCGAATGCGAAAAGGAGAAGAAATGGTATGAAGAGGTGGAAACTAGTCGAGCTCTGGTAGCACCCTGTGATGCCCGGGACCGCGCTAGTTGCATCTGTGAAAATGTTTTAGTGGTGATGGAACGCCAGGGGAAGGCGAGAACGAGTACATGCTGCGGGAGCGACAGTGGCGAAGCTAATGCAGAAGGATGCTGCGAGAGAAATCTAGCTAATGCATTTACCACTAGCTTGGGTATCGTGAGTGGATTGGGAACTCACGAAAAAGGCGGACAGCATGGCCACGAGTAAGATTCTATTCTTGTTCCAGAGCGCGTATGTTCTGAGGATAAAAAAGCCTGGATAAATCGGATCAGAAACACATATAGTACGGAGGAACGAGAGATACATTCGGAGCAAATGACTGATACTATACAAAGACCTGTGAGAGGAAAGAGGTAGCCCTCAGCAAGGACGTTCATACACAAATGTACCATGTACGTACATGTGTTGATACTGTAAAACATTCGGCATCTCTGGCAAAGTCATGCAGTAAGTCAATTGTTCTCATTAACTCTGCACCGCATCACATACACCTGAGTTCCCACTCGGGGTAAAGCCCACTGAAGAACAAGTGTTAATGAGTGATCGGGGTGCTGGAGCGGGACGTACGATATAGACTTATTGTGAGAATGATAAAGGGTAGGTATCGTGTAACAACATACAAGCCCTTTAGCTTGCTCCAGTGCGATCGAAGCAAAAATGTCCACTTTGCAAATCATATTGTGAGTATCAAAACCGAAGTGTATTACAGAACGGGAGTTTTACCTCTCCGTGAAGTGAACATGCATAATCATAGACCTGGAAAAGCGAGATTAACAGCGGACGTAAATATATGAGGATAAGCCTACCCAGAATGTAGCCATCGACGCTGAACTGTGTTAAGGCAAGGAATAAGGGGTTCGGATAGTACTGCGACGCACCATATATGTACTGCCAGTGATGAAACATGAATTGTCAAGTATTTTCACCCTCATATGGACTCGGACAAGGAGACACACCGAAGCGAACTGCAAGCTCCTGGCGGCTGCGATATCTTCAGACGAATACTCCATCTAGAGGTTGTACACTGGAAAAGTCTCAACGAGTGATGAAAAAAACGCTGAGGAATGGACGACGGGACTCCGCACGCGTTAAGTATACACTGTACAAAAAAAGAGGTGAGAAGGTGCAAGACATAGAATTCTAGAAGAGCGCTAAGATGGAAGCGAACAGAAGTCAAAACATGTACATAATTAAAGCTGTATGCATTATCGTCACTTGACTCGCGAAGCTACCTCCAAGTGGAGGGACCTAAAAGAACTTTCAGAACTCTAATTTGAGTCAATCAACAGCTGCTAGTACGGCCGTTATTGGGATTTTCAGTGATCGGGTGTTATTGCGTAATACGTCATGCTTCTGTTCTTTCCTCACTACCATGACAACTTCTACGGCCTTGTTGGTCTTCAAGCTAAGCTTCACCCGAATCCATCTATTAGATGCGCGGACAACCATCTCCTATATCATGACCATTCACGATGAAGGCAAATATGCACATTTCATCTCTTTGGCTATATACTACTAGTAGGATGACTTAATTAAGCTTACACACACCCGACTAGGTGACCTTGCGATATTGACCCATCCTAGAGTATCGCCCTGATCTCAAACTGGACTGCATTTGTGCCATTCAACGAAACCTCTCGGTTGAAAAGGGATTAGTTAGAAGCGCGCGCGATTGCGCTGCATCGTCTGTTCGTTAAATTCCTCAATACATTCGAAAGTTACTGCATCCATCCAAACCGTTCGTCGTGGATAGTGAATCGAAGACAATTTCCTCTGCGACCTGCGTATGCAATTACATCTAATAGTTGTCGAGGTTTGACGCTAGCACGAACCACGCTCGTCGAACCTCCGAACGGATCCCTTTGCTCACGGTCAATTGTAAATAGCGTTGTCGAGGACGAGCCTAAGAACGCGAAGAAATACGCTGAATATTCGCTGATACGAACGAAGGACAAGAATATGTTGATATTATGTTTCCTGAGTTGCTAGTGTAAACACAGTATATCGTCGAAGAGCTGACCGAAGGGGGTCCTCGTATGCTCCTCCCGCCCCAAGAAAGACACGTCTTATAAATTACACACGTAGCGAACTTTACCAAACCCACCCCACCAGTCATCTCGTAACAGTCAAAGCCTCGCTCCACGAATAAACCACAGGATAAGACATCACGGCATAGAATGTACAAATGATATATCGGACATTGGAATATCCACGAGAGAGCTGTGTCCAGGTTGGCCCATCTGCCAGAGATGGAGATGCATGCGCGTGGCGAGGACTGCGAGGATAATGAACTGGAAACTGTACGTGCGTGTAAGTTTGGGTATTGTCAGTAACAATACGCAGCAAGATGCGGAGGTGCGTACTCATGTAACATGGAGTGGTAGGAGTACTGGGGCGCAGAACATCGACGACTCGATCATATAAGGCATTTGGGAGATCCACGCACCTGGAGGAGCAGCGATGTGAATATGTTCACCACTGAGAACACTTCAGGAAAGAGAATGATCATGGATGAGTACGGAAAAAGGGCGCATACGAGTGTCAACTTACGAAGACCGCATGCATAATAGGATATGTTATGGTTCACCAGGACAACGTACAGACGGTTTGTGTTCGTCCGCCAGCTCTGTATGGCGCGTATGAGCGTGAGTATCATGAGTGCTGGGGAGAAGATCTGTCAGCAAGCGCTACATACACATGTATGCTCCTGATTACCCACCCAATTCGAACGCAAAAAGGAGAAGAAATGGTATGAAGAGCTGGAAACTAGTCGAACTCTGGTAGCACCCTGTGATGCCTGGGATCGCGCTAGCGGCATCTGTGAAAGTGAATAGAATTGTTGAATGGTAGTGGAACGTCATGGTGGAGGTGAGAGCGCGTACATGCGGCGGGGGCGGTAGTGGTGAAGGCAATGGTGAAGGATGCTACGATAAAAGCCTGGCTGATGCATCTACCACTGGCTTGGGTATGGTGAGTGGATTGAGAACTCACGAAAAAGGTGGACGCCATGGCTGCGAGCAAGATTCTGTTATTATCCCAGAGCGCATATGTTCTGAGGATGAAAAAACCTGAATGAATCAGATCAGAAACATACTTATAGTACGGAGGAACGAGAGATACATTCGGAGAAGATGGTTGATACCATACCAATACCTGTGAGAGGAAAGTGGTAGCCCTCAGCAAGGATGTGCATATATGAATGTACCATGTACGTACCTGAGTCAATATTGGCCAACACCCGGCATCTCTGGCGAAATCATGCAGTAAGTCGTTCGTTCATCCACAGCATGACATACATCTGGGTTCTCATTTTGGGAAAAGTTCACTGAAGCACAAGGGTTAGTTCATCATTGGGGCGATATGTGCTGGAGAGGAACGCACTATATAGATTTGTAGTGAGAAGAATAAAGGGGAGGTATCGTGTAGCAATATACAAGCCTTTCACTCTGTTCCAGTGCGATTGAAGCAAAAATGACCACTTTGGACAGCATACGGTAGATATCAAAACCGAGGTATATTACGGAACGGGTGTATTACCTCTTCATGGAGTGAACATGCATAATCATAGACCTGAATAAGCGAGATTAACAGCGGACGTAAATAGATCAGTATAAGCCTACCCAGAATGTAGCCATCGACGCTGAAATGAAATGAGTTAGGGGAAGGAATAAGGGGTTCAGACCTGTCAGACAGTACGCACTGTATATGTACTGATGGATGATAAATTGTCAAGTATTATTCGCCCTCATATGGACAAGGAGACACACCGTAGCGAACTGAAAGCTTCTCGCCGCTGCGATATCGTCAGACGAATACTCCATCTCGGGGTTGTACACTGGAAGAGTCTCAGCGAGTGATGATAAAACGGTGAGGTGGAGACGACTACGGGACGCGCGTTAAGTACGGTTATGTAAGGCTCAGGTGGCTTAATGCGCACTGTGGAGTACCAATAGAAAGTGAAGAAGATGTGATATAGAAGAGCGTCAAGAAAGGTAAGATTGGTGCCAAAGCTGTGAACCCATCAAGGCGGCGACACAAATACTGGGATATGATTTGAATTGGGGGCTTGGCTTGATGGAGCTCATCACAGTTCACTGGATACACCGGCCGGGGAGTGGCTTGACAAAAGGTCTCCGGTGCCTGAAGCGACGCAGAACACATGTAATAGAAGCTTCAGAAGCGCAAAGTTTGATGGATCACTTTAGAGGGACCTTGTTGCCTTGTAGTGGGGAGGCTCAACCTGTTTGGATGAAGGATACACCATGCGGCGATAGAAAAGAGCGAGTCCAGATCGAGGCGTGAATGCCCAATTGGGACAGCATCATTGTAGAGGCATTACCAATTCTTGGAATGAAATGGGACTAGTCAGAGTCGACGCTGAGCTTAATAAGGATCTGAACAATATTATCTTCATGGCGGCCAAGAAAGAACGTGACATACCTGCACTCCGTCTGCATTCAAGCCTCAAGCTTAAGTTTCACTCACGAGGAAGGTTACCTTACCTATAAGAATCCATCAACATGGGACCGCGGATAAATATTGCGGACACCATTCAAGTTGCTGACCCGATATCTCGGAGCGTTGCACTATTTGGGAAGTTGACAACCAAGTGTAGTCGGAGTCTAGAAAGTACTACACGTGATTTGAGGACAAAACGCATGATTGTAGCTCGTTACTCCGTTTCAAATTAGAATTAGCTAAATCTGTTCCGTGGTATTGTAGATATATACTATGATATCAAAACTGTCAACTCAGAATCCTTATTTTCCGCCAACTGAGGGAGGAGTAGGCATTTTTGTAGCAAATCCACCCTTGTGACCCATTTGTGACTGATGTGACCATATCAGTGACTCGGACTCAGGCGCGAGCGGCGATGGAGATAAACAATCGGAGCGGTCATTTCATGTTAAAACTTCAACGTTTTCGATGTTCGGACGCAATGTTCAACAGCCGTTCGAGAATCGAGAATTAAAATCAAATATTAGGTATTAAGTCTATGTGCCACTGATCAAATCAATCCTGCAGTTCCCAATTCAGCCATAATGGCCTCTGGAAGTACTCGATGGCCTCGATATCTCTTCGAAGCCCATGCTGCCTGCTTCCCATCAAGGCCCTTGCGATACGCGTCCATGAATCTGAGTGACCGCGTGGAAAATCTGAGCCAATCCAGATCAGGAGAATTATTGTGAAATCCAGCACTCCCTAGTGGTATGGTGTGAGGCTCGTCAACCATGGATCGAGCAGCCTGAGTTTCTCTTTCTTTTGAGTGCCAACACAGAGGAGGATTTGTAGGGTGAGATCCAGGGAAAGTTGTTTCCTGCAATTGGTGAGTCATGATGAGAAACTACAAGTAAGTCACTAAATTATTACATTTTCTTTGTCGTTGAACTTTTGCCGTCTTTGACCAGTAGTACCAGCAAGGTTTGCAATGTGTGAGGGCCGTTTTCGTGGCATAGTGAGGTAGACAGACTGTAGTTTATTGATTTGGTTCTCATTTCGATTCAGCGCGTCTATCACCAATCTAGCGCGTCTGTCACGTTGATGGTGCTCACTTGGGACATTTTGACAACATAATGCCTACTCGTCTCTCAGTTCCCCATATTAAATTATAAAAATTACATGACCAGCTTGCTACAGACTATCTGCACATAATCATAGAACAGATTTTGCTCGCACTTAGTTTACAATGACTTATATGCAAATTCATTGAAATGTCACGCTAGATCACGTGATGAAGCGGTGTATGAACGAGGCCTATCTTACTCGTAGTAGGCGGACGCAAGAGACTCGGAGACTAGCAACATTTATATTCCACTGCTTGCATGTTTATCTGTCTGGCAGCTTCCTTGTATGTTGCGAACGCGGTACTCTATACAACAAATCATATCCCGCCTCCACTACGGATATTTGTGAGGTCTACAGCCATTGTCAAAGTTCATCAAGATACAGAGGTCGTCGGCACAACGTCTCAGGAAATGTTACTTTGACCTGCATCCTCGTTACCCGAAAATACAACTGCCCAGCGCAACAGACGGGATTTCAATGAACGAAAGATCTTTTTCTGTCCGAGGCAATCTATGCACCCTCCTCAAGTGGTCCCCTGTTACTACAGGGCTTCAAGGACATTCGAACAGAACGATATTACTGTCACCACTCTCGTCACATTCAATCGATTCAACGTCTGCTCCGGTCTTACAATCGTCTGTGTTTTCAATCTTTCCTTAATTTTGTTTTTGTCAAAGGTCCGATTTCTGTAATCGTCCATGTCAAACCTAGTGCAACACACGCCCCTTCTGGATGCATTGCGTGACTTATGTGTGTCAACGCCCGCGATGTCAACCTACGTCGACATACACCTCGTGTTCACACCCTTCGACCGCCGATTAAATACTTGGGGGAATGCCGCGCGTTTATTTTCCCGTACCGAATTCGCCATGATGCTTGACGTCGACTATATCATTTGCACCAACTTCCGCTCTGCTACCAGGGCTAGTCTAGAAGCTAAGATTGGCCGAATTTTGAAGGAGGAACATGATGCTCCTTGTGGTACCTGCGTTCGAATATGTGAAACAGCAAGATGGCCTGGACCAGAATTATTTTTCTCGCGATATTTTCTAGGAAGTCACTGAATGGTGCTATTTTAGACATTACTTTCGCTAGTCAAGGTGAAGAAGATCGATATCTTCCATCGCACTTGGGCTCCTGGCCATAACGGCACCGATTATCCGTGATTCTATTCTGCCGCCCCTGGTGGAGTTTACAAGGTCACGCAGTACCACCCCGCATACGAGCCTTACGTGATCTTCGGAAAGGAAGGGTCCATCATGGTACCAACCAAATCCAAGTCAAAAATCTGTCTTGCTTCGTCTAATACAATCTTTCCAGGTGCGATGAACGCTTTGTTGGATATAGAGGGAACAAGGCCGCTTGTCTTTACGAGGTGTACCTCTCCGGCATGTCGTTTTATGTCCTTGCGGATCACTTCCTCGTGCACCAGAGTCACGCATACGAGGAGGAAGCGCGAACACTTGAGGTATCTATTCTTCTCTCGTAGTCAACAACTCTTGATATTATCAGCGCAAGAGTAACCGTAAGATATACCAGGACTTCAAGGAGGAAGTTTACCTCTGGTTCGTTCTTAGGCTTATCTCAACCGCTCACGGATGATGACATCTGAGCACCTCGTCATCTTTTATTTCTTAGGTACTTGAAGCGCCACTACGATTCTGGAACGCTTAACACTAGTCACGGATACAACCTTCAAGAGGAATGCAGGAAAATCAGAGGCGTGTCGAAAATTGCTGCTCTGGCGAGTTTCATGCTGGTGTTTGCGTACCCTTCATGTATGTGTCTAACGTTGCTCCAACAGATGAGGGTAGGTTTTAGTAGGCATGCCAGTAACGGGCGGCCTGCTGCTTTTACCAGACGAGGCTGATTAAGAACGATAGTCTGATATGTCTGATGATTGTGCCCAAATTTATTTGCCTTCAAGGTTTTTATGATGCGAGTGGGATGTGAGCGACCTCGTGGTATGTCGATCAGTTATTTTAGTCCCGTGTCTTCAACACGTGTTAGATTGATGAACTATAACAGCTTCCTGAATCTTGTCGTCTGCCACAAAGCTTGCGATAAATAGCATGCACTGAAATGCTCCCCCGCGTGTTATTGTGTGGTCGGTTTCTAGGTTTATCCGATGATAATTTGGATTCTGATGTGTATGTCCAGGACAAACTCAAGGAGATATTTCATGGGATCGCCGAAGTTATAGTAAGCATGCCTTTTCCTCTTCAGCATCTGGTTTCAGAGTCTCGTTCTCATTTCCTCTCATTCAGGTCCGATGGGCCGTATGCAGGGACTGCGCCTCGTACAGGCGCAACGCATCTTGTGAAGTCAAATTCAACACACCATTAATCCACGCTCTAGCCGATACGAGCATGGTCCGCTGGATTACTCAGAGTGGCGATGGTTACGATAAAATCGACAGGCAATCCTGTACAGAACGAGATATAAAGAGCAGACATTACCTCGTTCTTTACAGGCTTGCCTGTCGTGTGTTTGCCTCCAGGAATATTGGTTTCAAATACTCCAGGAGCGAACGAGGATGCCACTGCCACTGCCGCTTTATACCTTATGCTATCACTTCCTAGATGGACAGAACGCTCCCTTCGCACTGGTACACTGGAAGACACCGTGGAATGCGGCGCAAACTCATGACGTTACTGGGCGCACGCTTGGTATCTTAGGCTTAGGTCTGAGATTCGCTCACCTTGCACACGCCTTTCCAATGTGTATCATATACTTCTCACGAAGAAGGCAGAATACGTCTCAAGCGTGGGGGAGCTGTGCAAGCAGGCTGACTACATGTCTCTCTCAACCAATCCACAGCTGGTTTGGTTAGAGAGGAGATTGCATGCGGATCTAGACATCTTATCACAAAATATCTACAGTCGTGGTCATAGTCCATAGTTTTCGGTATTTCTACCGCTACTGCGGTTGTAGTCGGACTCGGAGCTCTGCGCCACGTTCTAGATTCTACCGGGTCGATCTCTTTTTCTCGTCAGAAAAATGATTGATAGCGGCTATGCTTTGGTCTGGGCTATAATATAGAAGGAACGACTGTCTTTCTGGTCTGACTAGGAGAGACTATGTAAGTCTGGGCAGGCCTAGGTTTAAATTCGACGTTTCTGATCAAACCTCTTGTGCAGTCTCATGATGTAACTCTAGGACCGTCACGGTAACATCAGACTCAGAAGCGAAAGTTTCGTTTTTCTGCACTGTAGGTAGTAAATCCAATGAAATTAACAGTACAAGGTGCTGAAATCGAGGTGCTGAAAGTTCCGATTTTTACTCTGAACTAATGTGCTGAAATTCTGCTCAAAAATGACAACGAAATATCAAGATATTGCAGGACACGAGCCGACGCCAGTGCGTCGCTTGCCTTGTCTTCTTTTGGTTTGCGCTCGGACCTCTCTGTTCCTGTCTCGGATCTCTCGGACTCCAACATATACTTGGTACAGTAACCCCAGGACAGCCTGCAAGGCACCACGTCTTTAGTTGTTTGTTGCGGTATATAAATAAAGAATTTCTCTCTCTCTCCGTTTCTATTAAACCCACCTCCACCATTCATCTCGTACAGTCCAAGCCGCGCTCCACGAACGACACCGAATAAGCCACAAGATGAGACATCACGCCGTGGAATTTACAGATGACATGTCGGACATTGGAACACGCACAAGGGCGCCAGAGCTGTGTGCATGTTGGTCCATCTGCCAGAGATGGCGGTGCATGCGCGTAGCGAGGATTGCAAGGATCATGACCTGGAAACTGTACGAGGGTGTAAGTTTAGGTATTGTTAGTAGGAATACGCAGCAGGATGCAGAGGTGCATACTCATAAAACAGGGTGTGGTAGGCGTACTGGGGCGTGGAATATCAACGGCTCGATTATAAAAGGCATTTATGAGATTAACGCACCTGGAGGAGCAGCGATGTGAATATGTTCACCACTGACAACACTTCAGGAAAGAGAAATGATCATGGATGAACACGGAAAAAACGGCGCGTGCGAGTGTTAACTCACAAAAAGCCACATGAATAATAGAATACGTTATGTTTCACCAGGACAACGTACAAATGGCTTGAGTTCATCCGCCAGCTCCGTACGGCGCGTACGAACGTGAGCATCACGAGTCCTGGGGACAACATCTGTCAGCGCGTGTTTATACATATTTATGCTCCTGGTTACCCACCCAGTTGGAACACGGAAAGGAGAAGAAATGGTATGAAGAATTGGAAACTGGTTGAACTGTGGTAGCACCCTGTGATTCCAGGAATCGCGCTAGTCACATCTGTGAAAGTGAAAAGAATCTTTCAGTGGTTGTGGAACGCCAGAGGGAAGGTAAGAGCGAGTACATGCTGCGGGGACGATAGCGGTGAACTCAACACCGAAGGATGCTATGATGAAAGTCTGACTGATGCATCTACCACCAGCTTTGATGTGGTGAGTGAATTGGGAACTCACGAAAAAGGTGGACAACATGGCTACGAGCAAGATTCTATTCTTGTTCCAGAGCGTGTATGTTCTGAGGATGAAAAAAACTGGATGAATCAGATCAGAAACATACATATCTTACGGAGGAAAAAAAGATACATTCGGAGCACATGACTGATACTATACAAAGACCTGTGAGAGGCAAGTGGTAGCCCTGAGCAAGGACGTGCATACAGGAATGTACGTTGCACGTACCTGAGTCAATATCACTCAACACCCAACATTTCTGGCGAAGTCATACAGTAAGTCGTTCGTTCTCAATAACTCTCCACAGCATCACATACACTTGGGTTCTCATTCGAGGTAACGCCCACTGAAGAACAAGCGTCAATTCGTCATCAGGGCGATGTGCGGTGGAGCGGAACGCACAATATAGATTCGCGGTGAGAAGGATAGAGGGGAGGTATCGCGTAAAAAGATACAGGCCTTTTACCTTGCTCCAGTGAGATCGAAGCAAAAATGTCCACTTTGCCCAGCATAGTGTGGATATCAAAGCCAAGTTGTATTGTGGAACGGGTGTATTACCTCTTCATCAACTGAACATGCATAATCATAGACCTAGAAAAGCAAGATCAACACCGGACGTAAATATATCAGGATAAGCCTACCCAGAGTGTAGCCATCGACGCTGAACTGTGTTAGGGCAAAGAATAAGAGGTTCAGACAGTACGCACCGGAAATGTACTGACGGCATATATGAATTGTCAATTATTATTCGCCATCATATCGACAGGGAGACACACCATAGCGATCTGCAAGCTCCTCGATGCTGCGATATCGTCAGATGAATACTCCATATAGAGGTTGCACGCTGGAACAGTCTCAGCAATTGATGAGAAAATGCTGACGTATGGACGACGAGAGTCGAGACGCGCGTCAAGTACACTACGTGCGGTTATGTAATGATCGGGTGGCTTGATGCGCAGCTGAAGAAGGTTCAAGATATAGAAGAACGTCAAGATAGGTAAGATAGATGCGGACAGAGGTCAAAAAATGTGTTTCATGCACACATCATGCGGCTTCTTATCTCTTATGAACGAGCTGTGATCCTATCAAGGTAATGTCGTTAATACTGGGATGTTATTCTAGTTGAGGCTTAGCTGGATGGTCGTGATGGAGCGTTTCACAGTTCACTGGATGCACCGGTCGGGGAGCGACTTGATACCAAAAGATATAGTTGCGCCTCCGGTGCCTGAGGCAGTAGTTTCATTAATAGCATACTACATAACAGACGCAGAACACACCTAATAAATTTTCTGAAGCTTGAAGTTCAATGCGTTATTGTCACTTGAAAGTTGAAACGCGAAGCTACCTTGGAGGGACCTTGTTATTGCAATTTGTAGGGAGGCTCAACCTCTTTGGATAAACGGATACATCGCGTGGCGATAGAAAGGGCCTACCTTGATCCAGAGCGATCAGATCAAAGCGGGAATGCCCACTGTGAAGTTTGAACAGCACCATTATCAAATATTACTGTGTCAATGCTGAGGAGTATCACAAATAACTGCATTGCCAATTCTTGGTATGATCATATGTCTGGAAAATATTTAATGGCTGACTGAAATAGATCAGGACGAGCTCACCAGATTGTAGCCATCAACGCTGAGCGCTGAGCTGTGTTGGAACGAGGACCCGGAATAGCAGAACATCATGATATAAGGCTAGTGTGACACTGCAAAAGACTGCGCATCGTCAAAACATTCTATCTGCATTTAGAAACGTGCCTAAATCTCGCGCAGGAGGAACGCTCATTAAGTATGTACTTGATCTATAAAAAAACCCATCAAAATGAGACCGTGGATAGTGCGTACTACGATTATTCAAGTTGCAAGGCTTGCTGAGAGATCTCGGAGCGTTGCAAGGTGTTGTACTAAGTTGACGACTAAGTGTATACATATCACATCACAGAGATAGTCGGAATCGTAAGTCTAGAGACAAGTATACTAGTACAACCAGCTTTGAAATCAAACAACGCCTCGGCCTAAGTAAATCTCGACTGAAGTCCACAAAATGTCATGCCAGCAAATACAACAAGAGGCTCCCATACTCATATACCCAGAGCACCACGTCTTTACAGTCTTAGTTGTTTGTTGTTCTCTCTCTACTAAACCCACCCCCACTACTCATCTCGTACAGTCCAAGCCTCGCTCCACGAACAACATCGAATAAGCCACAGGATAAGACATCACGCCGTGAAATTTACAGATGACATATCAAACATTGGAATACACACAATGGCGCCAGAGCGGTGCGCATGCCGGTTCAACTGCCAGAGATGGAGGTGCATGCGCGTGGCGAGCATTGCGAGGATTATGAACTGGAAACTGTACGTGGGTGTAAGTTTGGGTATTGTTAGTAGGAATACGCAGCAGATTTTGGAGGTGCATACTCATACAACAGGGTGTGGTAGGAGTACTGAGATGCAGAACATCAACGACTCGATCATGAAAGGCATTTGGGAGATCCGCGCACCTGGAGGAGCAGCAATGTGAAGATATTCGTTACAGAGAACACTTCAGGAAAGACAATGATCATGGGTGAACACGAAAAAACGGCGCATGTGAGTGTTGACTCACGAAGACCACATCCATAATAGAATATGTTATGGTTCACCAGGGCAATGTACAGACAGCTTGAGTTTATCCGCCAGCTCTGTATGGTGCGTATGAGCGTGAGTATCATGAGTCCTGGGTACAACATCTGTCAGTACGTGGTTGTACTATGCTCCTGGTTACCAACCCAGTTCGAACACCGAAAGGAGAAGGATTGGTACCAAGAGTGGTAAATTGGACGAACTCCGGTAGCACCCTGTGATGCCCGGTATCACGCTAGTCGCCACTGTGAAAGTGAATAGAATGATTCAGTGACCGTGGAACGCTAGGGGGGAGGTGAGAGCACGTACTTGCTGCAGGAGCAATAGTGGCAAAGGCAACCCCGATGGATGCTCCGACAAAAGTCTGGCTGATGCATCTACCACTAGCTTGGGTATGGCGAGTGGATTGGGAACTCACGAAAAAGGTGGACAGCATGACTACGAGCAAGATTCTGTTCTTGTTCCAGAGCGCATATGTTCTGAGGATGAAAAAAACTAGGGGAATCAGGACGGAAACACACATAGTACGGGGGAACGAGAGATACATTCGGAGAAAATGACTGATACTACGCCAATACCTGTGAGAGGAAAATAGTAGGGCTCAGCAAGGACGTGCATTCATGAATGTACCAGACACATACCTGAGTCAATATCGTCGAACACCGAGCATCTCTGGCGAAGTCATGCAGTAAGTCGTTCGTTCTCATTAATTCTCCACAGCATCACATACACCTGGGTCATCATTCGGGGTAAAGCTCACTGAAGAACAAGTGTTAATTCATCATCAGGGCGATGTGTGCTGGAGCGCAACGCACGATATAGATTTGTGGTGAGAAGGATAAAGGGGAGGTATCGTGTAACAATATACAGGCCTTTTACCTTGCTCCAGTGAGATCCAAGTAAAAATGTCCACTTTGCAGAGCATATTGTGGATATCAAAGCCGAGGTGCATCACGGAACGGGTGCGTTACCTCTTCATGAAGAGAACATGCATAATCATAAATCTGGATAAGAGAGTTTAACAGCGGACGTAAATATATCAGGATGAGCCTACCAAGAATGTAGCCATCGACACTGAAATGTGTTAGGGCAAAGAATAAGGGGTTCAGACGGTAGTACACACCATGTATGTACTGATGGAACATGACTTGTCAAGTATTATTCGCCCTCATATCAACAAAGGGACACACCGTGGAGAACTGCAAGCTCCCTGCTGCTGCGATATCGTCAGACGAATACTCCATCTAGAGGTTTGTACACTGGAACAGTCTCAGCGAGTGATGAGACAACACTGAGGTATAGACGAAGGGACGCGCGTTAAGTATACCACGTACGGCTATTTCACGATCAGGTGGTGTGATGAAAATGAAGATGCAAGATATGATATAGAAGAGCGTCAAGATGGGTAAGATATGTGCCAACAGAGGTCAAAAAAATGTATTTCTTGCACACATCATGCGGCTTCTTATCTCCTATAAATGAGCTGCGAACCCATCAAGGTGGTGGCGTTAATACTGGGATATCATTTGAGTTGCGGGCTTGGCTTGATGGTCACAATGGAGTGCTTCACAGTTCACTGGGTGCAGCTGCAGGGGAGCAACTTGATAAAAGATATAGTTGCGCATCCGGTGCCTGAGGCAGTAGTTTTACTAATAGCCATGCTCTATTTTGAGGCATATATGTTGTATGTCAAGTCTTTGGTCAGACTACTACATAATAGACGCAGAACGCACCTAATAATAAAAGCTTCTGAAGCTCAAAGTTTGATGCATTATTGTCACTTAAAACTACTTTGGACGGATCTAGCCTTGTAGGGTGGTTCAACCTCTTTAAATAAACAAATGCATCATGTGACGATAGAAAGGGCCTTCACCTTTATCCAGAGCAATCAGATCAAAGCGGGGATGCCCGAGTGAACGGGCATGATCATATATCTGGAAAATATTTAATGGCTAACTGAAATAGATTGGGACGAGCTCACCAGATTGTAGCTATCGACACTGAGCTGTGCACGTGTTGGAACAAGGACCCAGAAAAATGAGAACTTCATTCATTCAAGTATTATCTTGATTGCGGCCGCATACCAACAAGAACGTGACACACCGCAAAAGACTGCACATCGTTAAAATCCCCGACTCTACGAAGTGATGAGGGTTTTGTAGGATCCGAAAATTCAGGCTTGTTGTTCGACAGTTACTAGTGTGAACTTCCTTCCTTTTATGTCCAACTGTCCTTTGTCTGTTAACATCCCTGGTTTCACCTCGCTGTACGCTATTTCAATCCCCTCGAGTCACTATCAATGACTCTCATTGCAATATTGCGCAGTCTGCACGCAAGGGTCGGACTTATATTCCACTGCTTGGCACATGTCAGATTTCAGTCGTGGCCTCAGGTTTATCCGTCTGGCAGCTTCCTTGTATGTTGCGATCGCAGTCCTCTATACAACAAATCATATCCTGTCTCCACTACGGATATTTGCGAGGTCGTACATGACCTCCTATGATACAGTCATTGTCCAAGTTCATCAAGATGTCGAGGTCGCTGGCAATACGTCTCAGGAAATGTTACTTTGGCCTGCATCCTCGTTACCCGAACATACAACTGCCAATGAGCGAAGATCTTTTCCTGTCCAATGCATTCTCGCAGTCTATGCGCCCTCTAAAAGTAGTTCCCTACTGCTACAGGGCTTCAAGGACATTCGAACAGCACAATATTAGCATCACCACTCTCGTCACATTCAATCGATTCAAGGTCTTTTCCGAGTTTGTGACACACTACCAAGGTCTGCTCCGGTCTTGCAATCGTTTGTGTTTTCAATCTTTCCTTAATTTCGTTTTTTTTTGTCAAAGGTCCGATTTCTGCAACCGTCCATGTCAAACCTAGTGCAACACACGCCCTTCTGAATGCTTTGCATGACCTATATGCGTCAACGCCTGCGATGTCAACCTCGACATACATCTCGTTCTCACGCCCTTCGACCGTCAATTAAATACTTGTTGGAACGCTGCACGTCCCTTTTCCCGTACCGAATTTGGCATGATGCTTGACGTTGACTTCGCCATTTTGCACCAATTTCCGTTCTGCCGTCAGGGCTAGTCTAGATGCTAAGATTGACCGAATTCTTAAGGAGGGACATGCTGCTTTTGTGGTGCGTTTGAATATGTCAAACAGCAGTATATTCTAGGAAGTCACTGAATGGTTATTTCTTTCGCTGGTCAAGGCGAAGAAGATCGATGTGTTCCATCGCACTTGGGCTCCTGGCCATAACGGCACCGATTATCCGCGATTCTATTCCGTCGCCCCTGGTGAAGTTTACATGGTCACGCAGTACCACCCCACATACGAGCCTGGCGCGATCTTCAGAAAGGAAGGGCCACCATGGTACCAACCAAATCCGAGTCAAAAATCTGTCTTGCTCTGTCTAATGCAATCTTTCCAGCCGCGATGAACGCTTTGTTGGATATGAAGGGAACAAGGCCGCTTGTCTCTACGAGATGTACCTCTCCAGCATGTCGTTTTATTTCCTTGCAGATCACTTCCTCGTGCACCAGAGTCACGCATACGAGGAAGCGCGAACACTTGATGTATCGCGGCCTTCTGCTTGTTCCAGACGAGGTTGAAACGTTATTGACGGAAATGGCGTTGAAGGCGGTAGTCTGATGTGTCTGATTATTGTACCCAAATTTATTTGCCTTCAAGCTTTTATAATGCGAGTGGGATGTGAGCAACCTCGTGGTATGTCGATTAATTGTTTTAGTCCCATGTCCTCAACACGGGTTAGATTGACGAAAGGTAACAGCTTCCTGAATTTTGCCCTCCGCCACAAGGCTTGCGATAAATAGCATATACTGAAATGCTCCCCCGCGTGTTATTGTGTGCTCTGTTTCAAGGTTTATCCGATGACGATTTGGATTCTGATGTGCATGTCCAGGACAGACTCAAGGCGATGTTTCATGGGATCGCCGAAGTTGTAGTAAGCATGCCTTTTCCTCTTCAGCATCTGGTTTCAGAGTCTCGTTCTGATTTCCTCCTCATTCAGGCCTGATGGGCCGTATGAAGGGACTGCGCCTCGTACAGGCGCAACGCATCTTGTGAAGTCGTAGGCAAATTCGACGCACCATTAATCTTTGCTCTAACCGATACGAGCATATCACTCAGAGTGATGGTTACGATGAAATCGACGTGCAAGCCTGCAAAGAACGAGGTAATATCCGCTTTCAGTCAGAATCAACTGTTGCTAATGTGACAATGGTGCATGCGGATCTGCCCGGACGGATCTCTTATCACAAAATATCTACAGTCTTGGCCAGTCCATAGTTTTCGGTACTTCTACTGTACTGCGGTTGTGGTCAGACTCGGAGCTCTGCGCCACGTTCTAGATTCTATTGGGTCGACCTCGTTTTCTCGCCAGAAAAGTGATTGATAGTGGCCATGCTCTGGTCTGGGCTATAATATAGAAGGAACGACTGTCTTTTTGGTCTGACTGGGAAAGACTGTGTAAGTCTGGGCTGGTCTGGGTTTATTTAACGCACATGTTTGATTCGACGATTCTGATCAAACCTAAGACTAATGCAGTCTCGTCGCGGTGATGTAACAGAATCTTGGGACCGTCACGGTAACATCGGAATCAGAAGTGGTGAAAGGTTTGATTGGTTTGGGACCAGTCAATATGTCAGGAAGCTGGCAGAGATGGTAGAGATGACAAAGGAGGATTCTTTTTTTCTGGCTGCTGCCCTCCCAGCTCATACGTACGTACACGATCTGTGTGCGAGTGAGTATCGAGACTCGAGAACCCGAAGGCTTCGGGTCTGATAGCCAATGAAAATTGTGAGGACGGTTTGGCGTCCGCACAATGTACACAAGAGAACAGCACCATAACTCCGCAGACCCTGACCTTTCAATTCAATGATATTTGCCATGATAACTCCAGCCGTATAATACTAGTACATGTCGGTATCCGCGAAAACATCATGGTCTTTAAATTTACAACTCTCTCAAGAGACATTTCTGAACGACAGTCTCGACCTTGTAAAAGGGGTCACTACCAACTTCGATATGAGTGAAGCAAAAATCACCTGAGCCAAGCTGATCGGTTGCATCTCTACAGTAGCCGATTGTTCTGCCCCAGGGGTCTGGTATTTTTGGAGAATACGACTGCCTTCAACCTTGACAGAGTTATAAGAATTAAAAACATAAGATTCATCGACATTTTACCTCCTGAATATTGTTCTTTGCTTCGTCGAGATTCTCAGCATTAAACCATATGTCGGCATTCCGATCTCCTTGCGCACGCTGTTCGTACATATTATCGACAACGAGGGTGGTGTGTTGGATGCCTGCAGCCACAAAGTTTCCGTGTAGCTTCAGAAGAATTTCGCTGGCGCTCATCTTCTGATCGTTCGCCATCCTGCGCACTTCAGCCTGATACTGGGCAACGTAAATCTCGCTGTCGACTGCTTCTAAAGCGGAACCAGCAATGAGAGTGGGCAGCACGCTGAGATCGCCGAGGTTGACCACTTTCCCTCTATCACAAATAGTTAACTTGTGAATATATGATCGAAGTTGTGATCTTTTTACCCGGTTTTCTTAACCAACCCTTGGTAGAAATCACGCGCTCTCTGCGTAATCAATAACACATCTGACGCAGCAGCACAAAGAAAATGATCTCACCTTGTAACTCTGGCCCAGAGAAGGCTCGCACGCAATCACATACTGTGTTGACATTAAACTCTAGCATGAGATGTGGAACGTTCGACATACCAGAGTGATGCCAGTTTTTCCCATTCTCGTTGCAACACGGAGCGGATCAATTTCTGTTTTGGCATTAGTTACTGATTCATTATAACTGAAGAACAAAAGTATAATTTACGAAGTGGACACCCTTCAGGAAAGTGATCTCCATTTTCTCCAATTCCATGCGGGGGTGAATCGGTAATCAGCACTACGACCTTTGTCGCTTCGTCCTTCCAGTCAGCCTTGTAGGCAGCAGACAAAGCATCACTTTGAGATTCAGGTCCATCTCCACCACCCGTCGCTGTTAAGCTGCCTAAATTAGACGTAAAACTTCCAACATCGGACGTGAAAGGGTATTCCTGGATGATGAAGCTCAGATCTTGAGGAGGATGATCGCGGAAGGCAATAAGACCAAATCTGAGATCTTGCGGAGCAAATTTCCCCCCGGATAAAAGAGTGTTGCAAATCTGGGTGATCCCATTGCGCGCAGTGTTGATATACGGTTGTTGACTCCCTGTAGCGTCTTGAAGGAACATGATATCCCTGGGTCGAACTTACGGTCAGCGCCATGCAAGTTTCACAAAATGAATCGAGCCTCACAGTGGCACAGAAGGTTTTGGAACTAACTCAAAAACGAAGCATTGATTGGGAAAATCGTACTTTAGATGATAGTCACGTAGGAGTACAATTTCAAAAGAAGTAGAAAGGGCATACGACATGAGTATTGTCATGATAAAAGTGGACCTGTGAAGGGAAAGGGTATGAGAAAATGTCAGGAAAGTAGACTCGGACACAAACGGCATCTGATCCTGGGTCACAGGAGTCAAAGCAGTTCGCCTTGCCGTTCAGCTTTATCCTGTGACACACGTGAAGTACAACTTTCAGCAACATAATGTTAGGACACGGACTTCGAGAAGGTTTGACCATCACTGGTTCGTTCCAATATAGACCAGTTCAAGGAAGGACCATTCTGAGGATAAGGGTATCCATAACCCCAGTAGGTGCCTGCGGTCTTCTTGTAAGTCATACCATACCCATCCTCGACGCTGACCATCGTCCAGACGTTGCTTTGCCCTGACACTCGGGTAAGGGTCCACTGCACGAATTGGGCATATAGTAAAACAAGATGTGATTAGTTAACGTACTTTTTGCTTGTTGCTGGTTGGAGAAGGCGGAGCAAGCTTCAGCCCTGGGTTATTACCAGGAGCGCTTTCGATGAAAAGATCCTGATTGAGAACTTTGATGCGATACACCCCATTGGAAGTAGGTTTGGATTGGTAGGTCATTGTATAAAGTGCAGTAGACAGATTCCAGTAAGGAATGTGAACAAGTTCAGCGCTCAACTGTTGAGTGAGTCTCGAGAACCTTTAAATGCCATCGACACTCTGAAGCTGTGTTAGCTAACACGGTGTAGCGCCATGCAGCTTCCATGTTTCCGAAAACAGTTGATAATTGAGTTTACCATATACGTATCATACACGCGGGCATGGAGGCCTCGAGGGTGGAAGTCCAACAGAAAAGGTGAGAGTTAGCGACAATCCCAGGTCCGGCGTCAAGATATGACTGAATCTCCCGGACCCTAGATCTTGTAGGACGAGTGCGGCGAAGCCCCGTGGAGTCAGGTGAGGTTCTGTAGGAAATTACTTCCCTTATTGGTTTCCGGGTGCCGCATCCGACGCTATGATACATCCTTTTTGGTTTGAATTACTGTAGGAGAGCCCACTACTGCAATCGATCACAATCATAATCTACAGAAATCTAGGGGATCACACAATGGCACACATCTCTTTCGATTTATAGTTCACCTCTGAGTACTATTAGTAGTATTGACGTGGTTCTGTCTGGCTGTAGTGCTAGGTGGCCGCACAGCAGTCTCGTGTCCTCCTGCAAGCACTGGACGGCAAGCCCTACTCGTCCTTCAACTGCATTCCACAACCATCCAGCGAGCTTTCCGTAGCAGAATAGATTGAAACATCCATCCGTCCATCCCATCTTCATAGCGATCTCCATCAATCGACAGTTGGATCGTTCCGCGACCCAAGTCTTGTCACAACTTTCAGTCGGTTCATTGCATCATATCGCAGCCTTTGTCAATGAGTGACGATCAAGGTCAGTACTTCCATCTCTTATCTCTCGCAAGCTCTCTGACCTCTTTGACAGTTCTTGAAGGAATTTGGGCGAAGCTGTCAGAGGTCGCTGTCAAGGGTGCCCAACACAACTCCTGTGAACGTCAGCCCCACCCGAAATATTTGCAAGGGACCCGGGTTGATCTCCTCAGATACATCCACGGATTACTGGACGACTCAGAGACGAATCAATTCATTTGGTTGCATGGCACGGCTGGTGTCGGAAAGTCTGCTGTTGCGCTTACAGTAGTTGACAAGATGAAAGATCTAAGAGTGACCAAAGACACGAATGTCGAGAAGCGGCTAGCGGGAACATTCTTTTTCTCGCGCAAGCACACCAAACGCTGCACTGCTGGATATTTCTTTGCAACGCTTGTCTACCAGCTTGCCACTAATTTTCCAAGCATCCGGAAGGATGTGTGCAGAATTATACGCGACAATCCCGCTCTACTAGATCCAGATGCGTCTCTATGCGACCAGATGGAGGCTCCCTTTCTTCGACCTCTCCGGAAACTCCGATCCAGATTGTGTGGGTGTCCACCCTTATCGTTTGTCATTGATGCCCTCGATGAATGCACATTGGAACCTGAAGTTAAAAGACCTTATCCTTTCCCTTGCACGGGTTCTTCGCGAGCCTGATCTACCCGTGACCCACATTCTACTTACGAGTCGCTCGGAATCGCATATCAGCAACGTCTTCCAGAACGAAGAGGTGCGCCCGTTAGTACGTGAGATACCCGTGGGGACTTCTGGGGAGAGTGGCATCATTTCGTTAGACGGCACAGACGTTGACCACGATATCTGTACTTTCTTGCGGCATTTTTTTAATGAGCTGGGATGTCGCCATCACGATTTCCCGCAGCCATCGGAGGTTGACCTTGCGAAGCTAGCGAGCCGAGCGGGCAGACGTTTCACTGTGGCGACTACGATGATGAAGTTTATTATCGACGATGGAGACAAGGATCCCCGCGATCAGTTACAGCTGATGCTCAAGCTGACGAGTAAGCTGCTAGCAGGAATGGAGGTGTACAAGTTATACGATTGTATCCTTTCCACGTGTGCCAACCCCAAGCGGGCTTACATGCACTTGTCCATTGTCGCTGCCCTCGCCGACCCTCTTCCCATCTCGCAAATCTCAACGCTTCTTGGACCTGGTTTGGGAAGGGATGTGCAGACAACGCTGGCACAGCTATGGTCTGTCATGGATATCCCTCCAGACAGCACTCTTCCCGTGAATATCTATCACTCGTCCATCCGCGACTATGTTTCCGACCTCTCAAACTGCAGCCTCCCTCAAGTACGCGATATCATCTCACCTCACTCCATACTTGCACGTTCCTCTCTCCGCTTGATGGAGACGATTCCAGAAAGCACGGCTTTCTTGGATGCGCTCTCAGATCTGAAGAGGCAAAGCAAAGCCATGCAATCTGAGGACCCCTATAGGTTAAAAGACTCATTAGCGTTCCTTGTTCGGCCACCAGAGCCACTGTCGACTATCGTCTGTGTGTTGTGGCTTCGAGGAGATCGCACTTCAGATTTACAATCTTGGCTTGGGACTGTGGACGGGCGTGCCTGGCTGCAGATCCAGGCAGGACGATTCTGGCTGCTGACCCAAGGACGAGAGTGGCTGCAGACCCAGGGAGGACGAGGCTGGCTGCAGATCTCGGGGGGACGAGACTGGCTACAAACCCAGGGAGGACGAGACTGGCTGCAGATCCAGGAAGGACAAGACTGGCTGCAGACCCGGGGGAGACCAGAGTGGCTGCTGACCCTAGGAGGACGAGAGTGGCTGCTGACCCTAGGAGGACGAGAGTGGCTGCTGACCCTAGGCGGAAGATACTGGCTGCAGACCCAGGGACGACGAGAGTGGCTCCCGACCCCGGGAGGACGAGGTTGGCTGCAGACCCAGGAAGGACGAGGCTGGTTGCAGACCCAGGGAGGACGAGAGTGGCTTCAGACCCAGGAAGGACAAGAATGGTTACCGACTCCGGGAGGACGAGGCTGGCTGCAGACCCAGGAAGGGCGAGAGTGGTTGCAGGCCCAGGAAGGACGAGGCTGGTTGCAGACCCACGGAGGACGAGATTGGTTGCAGGCCCGGGGAGGGCAAGTCTGGCTGCAGACCCATGGAGGACGAGATTGGTTGCAGATCCAGGCAGGACGAGTCTGGCTGCAGACCCAGGGTGGGGAAGACTGGCTGCAGACCCAGGCAGGACGAGACTGGCTGCAGACTCCCAATGGTCAAGCGTGGCAGTCCACTCCTGCGGCCTCCGTCTGGGTGACAATGGAAGAATTCTTGAAGACATCGGAAGCTATCAACGAGTATATCATTACCAGCGATGTGCCTTTACTGCCGGCTTTTCAAGTAATCCAACAGTTCAAGACCTTGCCAGTTTCCGGTTTTCCTGGTGGACTGGCGCGGGCGACAATGTGCCTGCCTCTGGCAGACGAAGCTCGTGTGGCCTCAACCTGATGATTGTGCTACCTACGACAACGCCCGAAGGCTCTACTCCTACTGACTAAGCTGCGCAAAGGGTGGCAAACACCCGCCTGCACCACCCCCCGCTGGAGGGGTACCCCACTCCACTGGCATTAAGACACCACCACACGCGAACTTAGAGGACGAGATCCAGGTCTATTGCGACGGATCTGGATATAAGAAAAACATAGGCGCGGCAGCCATATTATTCAGAGCAGGCGCAAGACCCAGAATCCTAAGATTTCACCTAGGTAACGAAGACGAACACACAGTCTACGAAGCGGAAGAGGTAGGATTAACATTAGCAGCGAAACTAATCTCAACAGAACCAAATCTAACCTTCCCGCTATCAATTTCCATCGACAATCAAGCAGCGCTTAAATCAGGAGAGAACTCGCGAGCACGCCCTGGCTCATACATCGCAAACTGTTTCGTCAGAGAAATGCGCAAACTAGCAAGAACATACCCCAACTTTGACGTCACTCTCCGGTGGTCACCAGGACATGAAGACATTCACGGAAACGAGATGGCCGACATCGAAGCAAAGAAAGCAGCGACAAGCAGCGACAACAACAGCCCACGCGAAGACCTTCCAACTTACCTGCGCCATGGATCACTCCCTCTCAGTATATCAGCGTTAAAGCAGGCACATCACCAAGAAACTCACACAAGATGGACGAGACTATGGACCAAGTCTCCTAGATACGCACGTTTTCAACAAATAGACCCAAATGTTATCAACCGAGCGTTCATCAAACTAACTGCTAACTTCCCAAAGCGTCTCACAGGACTCCTCATGACCCTCCGCTCTCAACATATCCCATTAAACCGCCATCTCCACCGAATCAACAAAACCGAAAACCCGCATTGCCCCCACTGCCCAGACACAGAAGAAACCGTTCACCACTATCTGCTAGAATGCCCTCATTATCAGAAACAAAGACACATGCTACAAAACGAACTCGGCCGAGACGCATCATCCATACCCTTTCTCCTAACAAGCGCAGAAGCCATTGCTCATTTAGTCAAATATGTCAACGAAACCAAACGCCTCAAGAACACTTTCGGTGAAGTACCCATGTCCAAAAAACGCAAGACCTGACCCGCCCTGTAGAAATAAGATAACACACTCAACGCACTCAATGTAACACCCCACATCGCACAAACAAATGTAGCAACCACCAGCATCAACATATACCCAAGACTACTCTACAAACACCATAATCCTACAGTATACCTCATAACCATCACCAACCTAACACCTCGTACACATGGAAACCAGCCGCACCTTGAAAGGCGCCTCGGAGATATGGAGAATAGATCACAACGGAACACTAACATCTTCTCCCTCAAAACACGCTCCACTAGATTCCTGTTACTCTCCGCGAAAGCGGACGAGATAAGCGTACCATCACCACAAGCACTATATCATCACAAACGCAGAATTATATCTCATCTCATCACATGAAGGGCGCGTCTAAAACGGCCGGCGGGAACGGCGGACTGATGGGGGCACGCCCCACATCAGGGCATTCGCGACTTCAGAGACCAAAGGACACCGGGGGTCCTATAGATTAGAAAGCACTGTCCTACATAGAGTATTCCTCTCAATGGACAAAAAACTGGATTAAAAAAAAAAAAAAAAAAAAAAAGACACCACCATAATTCCACCTCTGCATTACCAGAAATTTTTCCACCAGACAGGGAGATAATTCGTGCTATGAATGCCTTTGAGAGGTTCGCAAAGAAGCACAGGAACGAAGTCAATCAGCTTCCGACGCTCTCAAGTACGCCTGTCACAACTGGGCCGTACATCTCTCGCGTGCTCCCCGTCCATGGGATGATACGTTCAACCATATATTTCAGGCTTTTTGGAATGATCATGCTAGTCCCTGGCTGGAAATGGAGTGGTGTTTGAAGGGTCTGCGGTCTTGCCTTGCCGTCTTATCTGAAGGGCAGAAATGTGTGAAGGTATGTGTTTCAACGATTCAAGTTAGCTACAACTGATGTCGCCTTACGTTCCATCATATTTAGTTCATGACGTGACGCCTTGAAATTCTCTTGTCTTCAGTCCAGGCTCCATTAACACGCAGCCCGGTACTACCACTTGAATATTGAATCCTACTCCATTGGCAATGCCTACACACCACAGGCAGGCGAGATTAGCATCAGTGCCAGCAAGTAATGTAGTATTATGTGGCACGATAGACAGCGTGATGCCAGTAGTACCCATGAATGTTAGATCTATTGTTGACACCAAGTACTAACCTCAAGTACTTTCTCTCGAGCTCTTGAACAGTGGAGGGTATACTGTTATAATCATCAACACAAACCCAGATATAGTTATCCCATAACGGTTCAACATCTACCTTGGTAGCTCAGACGACTCGCATATGTACACCCTGTTTTCTCGGCTCGTTTCTACTAGCTATTGCATATGGGCGCAATTATACCCCTTCGTCGAACTTGCGCATCTCATTATGTACATCAGGCTATCTACGACGCCTTAATAGTGCTCCCTACTCGCCTTGAATGCCATTTGGCCTTATTATAAGTAGATCTACTTGATAGTCCTTATTGTAAGCAATGAAAAAGTTGATTCGAGGTCGTAAATAAGCTAAATAAGGCACTTTAAGAGTGATTTAAGCATCCTGACGTTTTCCTCGTGCTCAGGAAGGTCCAGATCGCCATACCAGAACAAGAAGAGGTTTTTGAAGAAAGGGTGTAGGAAGGAGAGCGGAAGGAGGTGCAAGAGGAAAAGAAGAAGAGAGGATGGAAGGGGGGACAAATAAGTAGAGACAAAGAGGGTGCAGAAGGTGAAGGAGGAAGGGGACGGAGGGAGTACCATATCATACCCAACTCGGGTATCGATCACACCCACGTACAAACCAACAACTTCACTACAAATGCAGACTTCTCGAACTATTTGTATTATCCCTTAACTTATACTTGGTACAATAACCACAGGACAGCCCGCAGGGCGCCACGTCCCAACAGTTTTAGTTGTTTGTTGCGGTGTATAAATAAAGAAATTATCTCTCTTTACTAAACCCACCCCTACCAGTCATCTCTTACAGTCCAAGCCTCGCTCCACGAACGATACCGAATAAGCCACAGGATGAGACATCACACCGTGGAATTTACAGATGACATGTCGGACATTGGAATACGCACAAGGGCGCCAGAGCGGTGTGCATGTTGGTTCATCTGCCAGAGATTGAGGTGCATGCGCGTGGCAAGGATCGCAAGGATCACGATCTGGAAACTGTACGCGGGTATATGTTTGGGTATTGTTAGCAGGAATATGCAACAGGATGTGGAGGTGCATACTCATACAACATGGTGTGGTAGGCGTACTGGAGCGCGGAACATCAACAGCTGGATTATAAAGGGCATTCGGGAGATCCACCCACATGGAGGAGCAGCGATGTGAATATGTTCGCCACTGAGAACACTTCAGGAAAGGAAAAATGATGATGGATCAATACGCAAAAACGGCGCGTGCGAGTGTTAACTCACAAAAACCACATGAATAATAGAATATGTTATGTTTCACCAGGACAACGTACAGACGGCTTGAGTTTATCCGCCAGCTCTGCATGGCGCGTATAAGCGTGAGCATCATTATTCCTGGAGAGAACATCTGTCAGTGCGTGTTTGTACATACATATGCTCCTGGTCACCCACCCAGTTCGAACACAGAAAGGAGAAGAAATTGTATGAAGAGTCGGAAATTGATCGAACTGTGGTAGCACCCTGTGATGCCCGGGATCGCGCTAGTCGCATCTGTGGAAGTGAACAGAATGTTTCAGTGGCCGTGGAACGCAAGAGGGAAGGTGAGAGCGAGTACATGCTGTGGGGACGGTAACGGTGAAGTCAATGCTGAAGGATGCTACGAGAAAAATCTGGCTGATGCATCTACCACTAGCTTTGGTATGGTAAGTGGATTTGGAACTCACGAAAGCGGTGGACAGCATGGTTGCCAGCAAGATTCTATTCTTGTTCCAGAGCGCATATGTTCTGAGGATGAAAAAACCTGGATGGATCAGATCAGAAGCACACATATCTTACGGAGGAACAAAAGGCACACTCGGAGCACATGACTGATACTATAGAAAGACCTGTTAGAGGAAAGTAGTAGCCCTGAGCAAGGACGTGCATGCACGAATGTACCTTGCACGTACCTGAGTTTATATCGCCCAACACCCAGCATTGCTGGCGAAGTCATGCAGTAAGTCGTTCGTTCTCATTAACTCTCCACAGTATCACATACACTTTGGTTCTCATTCGAGATAAAGCTCCCTGAAGAACAAGTGTTAATTCATCATCGGGGTGATGTGTGCTGGAGCGGAACGCACAATATAAATTCGCGGTGATAAGGATGAAAGGGAGGTATCGCGTAACAATATACAGGCCTTTTACCTTGGTCCAGTGCGATCGAAGTAAAAATGACCTCTTTGCACAGCATATGGTGAATATCAAAACCGAGGTGTATTGCGCAACGGGAGCATTACCTCTTCATGAAGTGAACATGCATAATCATAGATCTGGATAAGCGAATTCAACAGTGGGCGTAAATAGATCAGTATAAGCCTACCCAGATTGTAGCCATCGACACTGAACTATGTTAAGGCAAAGAATAAGGGGTTCAGACAGTACGCACCGTAAATGTACTGATGGCACATGAATTGTCAATTATTATTCGCCCATACATCGACAAGAAGACACACCATAGCGAACCGCAAGCTCCACGCTGCTGCGATAACGTCAGACGAATACTCCATCTAGAGGCTGTATACTGGAAAAGTCTCAGCGAGTGATGAGAAAATGCTGAGGTACGGACAACGACGAGACACACGTGAAGTACCCTATGTACGGTTATATAGCGATCGGGTGGCTTGATGCACAGTACCAATAGACACCAAAAGATGAAGTGCAAGATATAGAAGAGAGTCAAGATAGGTAAGATAGATCGAGTTGGGAAAGATAGATGCGAACAAAGGTCAAAAAACGTGTTTGATGCACACACCATGCAGCTTCTTATCTCTTATAACGAGTTGTGATCCCATCAAGGTAGTGGAGTTGATACTGGGATATGATTCAAATTGCAGGCTTGGCTTGATGGTCATGATGGAGCGATTCACCGTTCACTGGATGCACCGGCCGGCGAGCGAAGATATAGCTGCCCCTCCGGTGCCTGAGGCAGTAGTTTCATTAATAGCATACTACATAACATACGCAGAACGCACCCAATAACGTTTCTGAAGCTCGAAGTTTGATGCATTATTGTCACTTGAAACGCGAAGCTACCTTGGAGGGACCTTGTTATTGTAGGGAGGTTCAACTTCTTTGGATGAACGGATACATCATGTGGTGATAGTAAGGGCCTTTGCCTTGATCCAGAGCGATCAGATCGACGCGGGAAACCCCACTGTGAACATTACCATTATCAAATAAATGCTGAGGCGTATCACAAATAACTGCATTACCAATTCTTGGAGCGAACAGGCATGATCACACATCGAAGGATTGGACATTTTACCTCTTGCAAAACTTCAATCAAAAGCAGATCTAGACCTAGCTAGAGCATTCTAGACCTAGCCTGGAACGCTCTAGATTGCATTTCGAATGCGATTTCACTAGTGGCAAAATGTGGTAAAATGTCGAAACCCCCGCTGTGTCATATGTCTGGAAAATATTTAATGGCTGACTGAAATAGATTGGGACGAGCTCACAAGATTGTAGCTATCAAGGCTGGACGCTGAGCTGTGTTGAAACAAGGACCCGGAAAAAGCAGAACATTCATCAAGTATTATCTTGACAGCGGTCCCGTACCAACAAGAACGCGACGCACTGCAATAGACTGCACATCGTCAGTTTCGCGCCCGAGGAACACTCATTACGTATGTACTTGATCTATAAAAAACCCATCAAGATGCGACATAGAGGGGCTGGTCACCAGTCTAGATGCGACCCAGTGGATACAGTGTGCACTACGATCATTCAAGTGGCAGGGCTTGCTGACTAAAGATCTCGGAGGGTTGCCAACTGGCCAAGCGTTGCACCAAGTTGACGACTAAGTGTATACGTATCACAGACTCAACTTCAAACATCAGCAAACTACAATATTGGCCTTGTACAGCTCGAAGTAAGTGTTAGCAAAACCATACGTGACTATTTGTTTGGCAGCAGCTTTGAAATCAAACAACACCTCGGCCTAAGTAAACGTCGACTAAAGTCTACGAAGTCCCAGTGGAAATGGCATTCCAGCACACGCAACAAGAGGCTCTCGTACTCAGATACCGAGAAGACTTTTTTATTCGTCTAAACGTCTAAAAAACGCAGCCAACATCCTATTCCGCGCCATCCAACCCTCTCAAAACCAACCCTATACATGAGTTTTCATCGATAAGCCACAAGGTATGACTCGTATGAGTAGTGCTAGGGACCTTAATCGCGGGCTAACGTTTAATTACTTCTACAATATATACAGAAGGTCAAATATACCTCTTATTCATGCCAAATCCTCTCAGCCTCTGAACGACGGTATCCGATGGCAAGACCAAGAAAGCCGATACACTATCCCTGTCCAACGTGGTACACTCCGCATCCGCCTTTACACCTACATCTACGCATATATATCCCGCTCCCCAGAGATCGTCCCATCTCTCTTGAACAACCCCGTCAGGCACTACCCACTACGACAAATAATGGACCCTCCTGTATATGTCATGGGCGAAAGTGCAGGTCAAAAAGCTTTTCCGCATCCCGCATCAAGGCGGTATGCCCCAAGTAGGAATGAACCCGCAGGCGACGATAGCGCAGTAGAACAGTAATATGGAGGCTTTGGAGAGGAGGAGGCAGCGTGAACGGACGAGAGATGGGAGTGGGGGCGTTGGGGTGGGCGTGAGTATATCCTGTCCTCGGAGAAACGTTTGTCTGATATGTTGGTTATTGGTGAGTGGTCAAGCGTGGCAGTCCACTCCTGCGGCCTCAGTCTGGGTGACAATTCTTGAGGACATCAGTAATCCAGTAGTTCAAGACCTTGCCAGATTTATTAATGTTTCCGGTTTTCCTGGCATTAAGACACCACCATCATTCCACCTCGGCATTACCAGAAAGTCTTCTACCGGACAGGGAGATAATTCGTGCTATGAACACCTTTGAGAGGTTCGCAAAAGAAGCACAGGAACGAAGTCAATCAACTTCCGACGCTCTCAAGTACGCCTGTCACAACTGAGCCGTACATCTCACGCGTGCTCCCCGTCCATGGGATGACACGTTCAACCATATATTCCAGGCTTTTTGGAATGATCGTATTATCTCCTGGATGGAAGTAGTGTGGTGTTGGAAGGGTCTGCGGTCTTGCCTTGTTGTCTTGTCTGAAGGGCAAAATTTGTGAAGGTGTGTGTTTCAACGATTCAAGTTGGCCGCAACTGATGTCACCTTACGTTCCATGATATTTAGTTTATGACGTGACGCCTTGGAATTCTCTCTTATCTTCAGTCCAGACTCTTGAGCCATTGACACGCAACCCGGTGCTAGTACTTGAATCCTCCCCCATTGACAATCCTTACAAACTACAGGCAGGCGAAATTAGCATCAGTGCCAGCGAGTAATGTAGTATTCTATGGTACGATAGAAAGCGTGATGCCCATAAATGTTAGATCTATTGTTGATACCAACCTCATACTTTCTCTCGAGCTCTTGAACAGTGGAGGGTAAACTGTTATAATTATCAACACAAACCCAGATATAGTTATCCTAATCTATAACGGTTCAACATCTACCTCGGTAGCTCAGACGACTCGCATATGTGCACCCTGTTTTCTCGGCTCGTTTCTACTAGCTATTGCATATGGGCGCAATTATACCCCTTCGTCGAACTTGCGCATCTCATTATGTACATCAGGCTATCTACGACGCCTTAATAGTGCTCCCTACTCGCCTTGAATGCCATTTGGCCTTATTATAAGTAGATTTACTTGATAGTCCTTATTGTAAGCAATGAAAAAGTTGATTCGAGGTCGTAAATAAGCTAAATAAGGCACTTTAAGAGTGATTTAAGCATCCTGACGTTTTCCTCGTGCTCAGGAAGGTCCAGATCGCCATACCAGAACAAGAAGAGGTTTTTGAAGAAAGGGTGGAGGAAGGAGAGCGGCAAGAAATGCGTGTCATTCGTTAACTTATGCTTGGTACAATAACCCCAGGACAGCCCGCGAGGCACCACATCCTAACAGTTTTAGTTATTTGTTGCGGTATACAAGTAAAAAGAAAGTCTCTCTACTAAACCCACCCCCACCAGTCATCTCGTACAGTCCAAGCCTCGCTCCGCGACCGATACCGAATAAGCCACAGGATAAGATATCACGCCGTGGGATTTGCAGATGATATATCGGACATTGGAATACGCACAAAGGCGCCAGAGCGGTGTGCATGTTGGTTCATCTGCCAGAGATGGAGGTGCATGCGCGTGGCGAGGATTGCGAGCATCACGAACTGGAAACTGTACGTGGGGGTATTGTTAGTAGGAATACGTAGCAGGATGGGGAGGTGCATACTCATAAAACAAGGTGTGGTAGGCATACTGGGGCGTGGAACATCAACGGCTCAATTATAAAAGGCATTTATGAAATTCGCGCACCTGGAGGAGCAGCAATGTGAAGATATTCGTTATTGAGAATACTTTAGGAAAGAGAATGATCATAGGTGAACACGAAAAAACGGCGCGTGTGAGTGTCAACTCACGAAGACCACATGCATAATAGAATATGTTATGGTTCACCAGGACAACGTACAGACGGCTTGGATTTATCCGCCAGCTCTGTATGGCGCGTATGAGCGTGAGTGTCATGAGTCCTGGGGAAAACATCTGTCAGCACGTGTTTATAGATTTATATATTCCTGGTTACCCACCCAGTTCGAACACGGAAAGGAGAAGAATTGGTACCAAGACCGTGACACTGGTCGAACTCCGGTAGCACCCTGTGATGCCCGGGATCGCGCTCGTCACGCCTGCGAAAGTGAATAGAATGATTCAGTGGTCGTGGAATGCCAGGGGGGAGGTGAGAGCGCGTACGTGCTGCGGGACCAGTAGCGGCAAAGGCAACGCCGATGGATGCTACGACAAAAGTCTGGCTGATGCATCTACCACTAGCTTGGGTGTGGTGAACAGATTTGGAACTCACGAAAAAGGTGGACAACATGGTTATGAGCAAGATTCTATTATTGTTCCAGAGCGCATATGTTCTGAGGAGGAAAAAAACTAGGTGAATCAGAACGGAAACACACATAGTACGGGGGAACGAGAGATACATTCGGAGAAGATGGCTGATACTATACCAATACCTGTGAGAGGAAAGTATTAGCCTTTAGTAAGGACGTACATACATGAATGTACCATGCACATACCAGAGTCGATATCGTCCAACACCCGGCATCTCTGGCGAAGTCATGCAGTAAGTCGTTCGTTCTCATTAGCTCTCCACCGCATCACATACATCTGGGTTATCATTCGTGGTAAAGCTCACTGAAGAAGAAGTGTTAATTCCATCAGGGCGGTATGTGCTGGAGTGGAACGCACGATATAGATTTGTGGTGAGAAGGATAAAGGGGAGGTATCGTGTAACAATATACAAGCCTTTTACCTTGCTCCAGTGGGATCGAAGTAAAAATGTCCACTTTGCAGAGTATATTGTGAATATCGAAGCCGAAGTGTATCACGGAACGGGTGTATTACCTCTACATGAAGTGAACATGCATAATCATAAATCTGGATAAGCGAGTTTAACAGCGGACGCAAATAGGTCAGGATAAGCCTACCCAGATTGTAGCCATTGACGCTGAAATGTGTTAGGGCAAAAGACAAGTGGTTCAGACAGTAGCACACACCGTGTATGTACTGATGGAACATGACTTGTCAAGTATTATTCACCCTCATATCAACAAGGAGACACACCGTAGAGAACTGCAAGCTCCTCGCTGCTGCGATATCGTCAGAGGAATACTCCATCTAGAGGTTTGTACACTGGAATAGTCTCAGTGAGTGATGAGAAAACGTTGAGGCCTTGAGGTATGGGACAGCGTTAAGTATACTACGTACGATTATGTAACGATGAATGAGATGTAAACCCATCAAGGTGGCGGCGTTAATACTGGGATATCATAGGCTTGGCTTGATGGCCATGATGGAGTGCTGTGCTTCACAGTCCTATAATTGCACCTCCGGTACCTGAGGCAGTAGTTTCACTAATAGCTATGTTCTATTCCGAGGCACATATGTTGTATGTCAAGTCTTTGGTCAGACTATGATAATAGACGCAGAACGCACCTAATAAATTTAAAGTTTCCGAGGCTCGAAGTTTGGTGCATTATTGTTACTTGAACGCAAAGCTATCTTGGAAGGACCTTGTTACTTTGTAGGGAGGCTAAATCTCTTCGAATGGACCAATACATCGTGCGGCGACAGAAAGGGCATTCACCTTGGTCCAGAGTGATCGGAGCGACTCGAGCTTACGAGAATTTGACGAGAATGCCCACTTTGAGCAGCACCGAGGCGTACTGCATTACCAATTCTCACGATGGAATGAACAAACATGATCTAAGGTTTGTAAAATATTTAATGGCCGACTGGGACGAGCTCACTGGATTGTAGCTAGAGTCGACGCTGAGCTGTATTGGAACAGGACCCGACTTGAAGAAGTAGAACATTCATTGAGTGATAACTTGATACTGGCCAAGAACGCGACAGACTGCGCGTCGTCAAGATACTTGGTCTGCATTCAAGTTTCGCAGACGAGGAATACTGATTACGTACCTTATCTATATATAGGAATCCATCAACATGCGACAGCGGATAAATATTGCGGATATCATTCAAGTTGCAGGGCTGGCTCCTGCCAAGGCGTATCACATTACCAATTCTTGAAGTGATCAAGCATGATCTTAGGTCTGGAAAATATTTAATGTCTGATTGGGACGAGATTGCATAGCCATTGACGGCTGTGTTGGAACTTGGAACAAGGACCCGGAAGAAGCACAACATTCATTACATAAGCGTTGATGGCTGCACAGGCCACTTCACGAGCTCTCGCAAAGCTGGGAGTCTGCACCTTTTCCTTGTCTCCAGACAACCGCCTGTTTGCGAGTACATCAGATAATACAGCGCGTCTATGAATATCGACACAAACCTCCGACCCCTCCAACACTCATAGGATGTGAACTGCATGGCCTTTTTCGCTGACGAGAAGCTGCTGGCCACTGGTTGCGAGGACAATATGGCGATTCACCAGCACTAGAACCATTCACGCGCTACACACAGCCCCCATTGCGCTGAGAACAAGTGAGTCTTTCGCTCCTAGAACGTGGGCATAAAGCTTCGCTATACGCGTCGCTACACTCCTACTATTTGGGAGCACAGCTCACCTTGAAGCCCAGGTTCGAACCCGTGCTTCGGGCTTGCGCCCAAAACACCAACACTTCCTATCCCATCAGCAGTCTCGTCTCCGAGAATTTCCCTCTAAGTTTTACTTAGTAGTCACACCTAACTCAGTCTCCTTTCGTTACACACCTCGAATCTAACTTCGTCATCAAACAGCTACAGAGCAGTGCAGCACATAGACCAACAACTTCACCACAAACGCGGACCTCTCCAGCTATTCGTATCATTCGTTAACTTATACTTGGTACAATAACCCTAGGACAGCCCGCAGGGCACCACAACCTAACAGTTTTAGTTGTTTGCTGCAGTATGAAATTCTCTCTCTACCAAACCCATCCCCACCAGTCATCTCCTACAGTCCAAGCCTCGCTCCACGAACGACACCGAATAAGCTATAGGATAAGACATCACGCCGTGGAATCTACAGATGACATGTCGGTCATTGGAATACGCACAAGGGCGCCAGAGCTGTGTGCATGTCGGTTCACCTGCCAGAGATGGAGGTGCATGCGCGTAGCGAGGATTGTGAGGATCATGAACTGGAAACTTTACGTGGGTGGAAGTTTGGGCATTGTTAGTAGGAATACGCAGCAGGATGTGGAGGTGCATACTCATACAACAGGGTGTGGTAGGAGTACTGAGGTACGGAACATTAATGACTCGATCATAAAAGGCATTTGGAAGATTTACGCACCTGGAGGAGCAGCAATGTGAATATGTTCATTACAGAGAACACTTCAGGAAAGAGAATGATCATGGATCAGTACAGCAAAACGGCGCGTACGAGTGCTAACTTACGAAGACCACATGCATAATAAGATATGCTATGGTTCACCAGGACAAGGTACAGACGGCTTGGGTTTATCCGCCAGTTCTGTATGGCGCGTATGAGCGTGAGTATCATGAGTCCTGGAGACAACATCTGTCAGCGCGTGTTTGTACATGCATATGCTCCTGGGTACCCACCCAGTTCGAACACGGAAAGGAGAAGAGTTGGTATGAGGAGCGGGAAACTTGTCGAACTCCGGTAGCACCCTGTGATGCCCGGGATCGCGCTAGTCGCATCTGCGAAAGTGAACAGAATTGTTGAATGGTAGTGAAATGCCAAGGTGGAGATGAGAGCACGTACATGCTGCGGGAGCAGTAGTGGTGAAGGCAATGCCAATGGATGCTCCGACAAAAGTCTGGCTGATGTATCTACCACGAGCTCTGGTGTGGTGAGTGGATGGAGAACTCACGAGAAAGGTGGACAGCATGGCTGCGAGTAAGATTCTATTCTTGTTCCAGAGCACATATGTTCTAAGGATGAAAAAACCTGGATGAATCAGATCAGAAACACACATAAGATACGGGGAAACGAGAGATACATTCGGAGAAAATGGCTGATACCATACCAACGCCTGTGAGAGGAAAGCAGTAACCGTCAACAAGGACGTGCATACATGGATGTGCCATGCACGTACCTGTGTCAATATTTTCAAACACCCGGCATTTCTGGCGAAGTCATGCAGTAAGTCGTTCGTTCTCATTAACACCCCACAACATCACATACGCCTGGGTTCTCATTTGGGGCAAAGCTCACTGAGGAACAAGCGTTAATTCATCATCGGGGCGACATGTGCTGGAGCGGAACGTACGATACAAACCCGTGGTGAGAAGGATAAAGGCGAGGTATCGTGTAACAATATACAGGCCTTTTACCTTGCTCCAGTGCGATCGAAGCAAAAATGTCCACTTTGCACAGCATATTGTTGATATCAAAACAGAGATGTATCACGGAACGGGTGTATTACCTCTTCATGGATTGAACATGCATAATCATAGATCTGGATAAGCGAGTTCAACAACGGACGTAAAGAAGTCAGGGTAAGCCTACCCAGAATGTAGCCATCGACACTGAGCTGTGTTAGGGCAAAGAATAAGAGGTTCAGACAGTACGCACCGTGTATGTACTGATGGAACATGAGTTGTCAAGTATTATTCGCCCTCACATCAACAAGGAGACACACCGTAGAGAACTGCAAGCTCCTTGCTGCTGCGATATCGTCAGATGAATACTCCATCTAGAGGTTTGGATGCTGGAACAGTCTCAGCGAGTAATGAGAAAACGCTGAGGTATGGACGACGGGACGCGCGTTAAGTATACCACGTGCGGTGATTTAACGATCAGGCGGCTTGATGCACGATGTGCAGTAGATACCGATAAGATGAAGAAGATGCAAGATATGATATAGAAGAGCGTCAAGATGGGTAAGATAGGTGCCAACAGAGGTCAAAAAATGTATTTCATGCACACATCATGCGGCTTTTTATCTCTTATAAATGAGCTGTGAACCATCAAGGTGGTGGCGTTAATACTGGGATATCATTTCAATTGCAGGCTTAGCTTGACGGTCATGGTGAAGTGCTTCACAGTTCACTGGATGCAGCTGCAGGGGAGGAAGTTGATAAAGGATATAGTTGCGCCTGTGGTGCCTGAGGCAATAGCCATGCTCTATTCTGAGGCACATATGTTGTATGTCAAGTCTTTGGTTAGACTACATAATAGACGCAGAACGTACCTAATAAAAGCTTCTGAAGCGCGAAGTTCGATGCATCATTGGCATTTGAAACGCGAAGCTACTTTGGAGGGACATTGTTGCCTTTAGTAGGGAGGCTCGACCTCTTTGGATGAACGGATACACCGTGCGGCGAAAGAAAGGGCCTTCACCTTGGTCTAGAGCGATCAGATCGAAACGGGAATACCAATTGGGACAGCATCATCATTGACAACAATGTATCAAGTGACTGAGGTGAACCACTGCATTACCAATTCTTGGAGTGAACAGGCATGACCATAGGGTTGAAAAATAGTTAATGGCTGATTGAAATAGATTGGGACGAGCTCACCGGATTGTAGTCAGAGTAAGCAGAACACTCGCTAAGCAGTACCTCTACAGCGGCCAAGAACGCGACAGACTGCGCATCGTCAAAATACTTCGTCTGCATTCAGAAACATGGTTAAGTTTCGCAGACGATGATTGCAGCGCTGGTCATGTACCTTATCTATATAAGAACTCATCAACATGCGACAGCAGATAAATATTACGGATACTATTCAAGTTGCAGGGCTTGCTGACCCAATATCCCCAGGGGAGCGTTGCACTAATTGGGAAGTTGACGACCAAGTGTAAACTTCACCACAAACGCGGCCATTCAGTACTTGGTACAGTAACCCCAGGACAGCCCGCAAGGCACCACGTCTTGACAGTTTTAGTTGTTTGTTGCGGCATATAAATAAAGAAATTCTCTCTCTTTACTAAATCCACTCCCACCAGTCGTCTCGTACAGTCCAAGCCTCGCTCCACACCGGATAAGCCATAGGATAAGACATCACGCCGCGTAATCTACAAATGACATATCAGACATTTGAATATGCGTAAGGGAGCCAGAGCGGTGTGCATGTAGGTTTATTCGCCAGAGATGGAGGTGCATGCGCGCGGCGAGGATCGCAAGGATCGTGACTTGAAAACTGTACATGGGTGTCAATTTGGATATTAGTAGTAGGAATACGCAGCAGATGTGAAGGTGCATACTCATACAACATGGTGTGGTAGGCGTACTGGAGCGCGGAATATCAACAACTCGATTATAAAAGGCATTCGGGAGATTTACGCACATCGAGGAGTAGCGATGTGAATATGTTCACGATTGAGAACACTTCAGGAAAGGGAAATTATCATAGATCAACACGGAAAAACCGCACATGCAAGCGGTAACTCACAAAAACCACACGTATAATAGAATATGTTATGTTTCACCAGGACAACGTACAGACGGCTTGGGTTTTTCCGCCAGCTCTGTATGGCACGTATGATCGTGAGCGTCATGAGTCCTGAGGAGAACATCTGTCAGTGCATGATTGTACATATATATGCTCCTGGTTACCCACCCAGTTGGAACACGGAAAGGAGAAGAAATGGTATGAAGAATTGGAAATTGGTCGAACTGTGGTAGCACCCTGTGATGCCCGGGATCGCGCTAGTCGAAACTGTGAAAGTGGAAATGTTTCAGTGGTCATGTAACGCTGGAGGGAAGGTGAGAGCAAGTACATGCGGCGGCGGCGATATCGGTGAACTCAACGCTGAAGGATGCTACGAGAAAAGTCTGGCTGATGCATCTACCACCAGCTTTGGTGTAGTGAGTGGATTGGGGACTCACGAAAGAGGTGATCAGCATGGCTGCGAGCAAGATCCTATTCTTGTTCCAGAGCGCATATGTTCTGAGGATAAAAAAAACCTGGATGGATCAGATCAGAAGCACACATATCTTACGGAGGAACAAAAGATACATTCGGAGCACATGACTGCTACTATAGATAGACCTGTGAGAGGAAAGTAGTAGCCCTGAGCAAGGACGTGCATGCACGAATGTACCTTGCACGTACCTGAGTTTATATCGCCCAACACCCAGCATTGCTGGCGAAGTCATGCAGTAAGTCGTTCGTTCTCATTAACTCTCCACAGTATCACATACACTTTGGTTCTCATTCGAGATAAAGCTCCCTGAAGAACAAGTATTAATTCATTGTCGGGGTGATGTGTGCTGGAGCGGAACGCACAATATAGATTCGCGGCGAGAAGGATAGAGGGGAGGTATCGCGTAACAATATACAGGCATTTCACCTTGCTCCAGTGCGATCGAAGCAAAAATGTCCACTTTGCACAGTAGATCGTGGATATCAAAACCGAGGTGTATCACGGAACGGGTGTATTACCTCTTCATGAAGTGAACATGCATAATCATAGATCTGGATAAGCGAGTTCAACAGGGGACGTGAATAGATCAGTATAAGCCTACCCAGATTGTAGCTACCGAGACTAAATTATGTTAGGGCAAGGAACCAGGGATTCAGACGGATACACACAGGAAATGTACTGATGGCACATGGATTGTCAATTACTATTCGCCCTTATATCGACAAGGAGACACACCGTAGCGAACTGCAAGCTCTTCGCTGCTGCGATAATCGTCAGACGAATACTCCATGTAGAGGCTGTACACTGGAAAAGTCTCAGCGAGTGATGAGAAAATGCTGAGGTATGGACGACGACTGGATGCGCGTCAAGTACGGTTATCAGTGTAATGATCAGGTGGCTTGATGCGCACTGTGCAGTATCAATGGATACCAATATAAGGTGAAGAAGGTTCAAGATATAGAAGAGCGTCAAGATAGGTAAGATAAATGCAAACAGAGGGAAAACAAAAAAAGGAATTCATGCACATATCATGCAGCTTCTTATATCTCTTATGAACGAGCTGTGATCCCATCAAGGTAGTAGCGTTAATACTGGGATATCATTCCAGTTGCAGGCTAGCTTGATTGGTAATGATGGAGCGTTTCCCAGTTCACCGGATTCACCGGCAGGGAGCGACTTGATAAAGATATAGTTGCGCCTACGGTGCCTGAAGCAGTAGTTTCACTAGAATAGACTTTTATTCCGAGGCATATATGTTGTATGTCAGCCTTTGGTCAGAATACATGATAGACGCAGAACGCACCTAATAAAAGCTTCTGAAGCTCGAAGTTTTATGCATTATTGTCACTCAAAACGTAAAGCTACGTTGGAGGGACCTTGCCACATTGCCTCCTTGTAGGAGGCTGAACCTCTTTGGATGAACGGATACATCGTGCGGCGACAGAAAGGGCTTATTCCAGATGATCGGATCGAGCGGGAATTCCACTTTGGACAGCATCATTATCAACTGTCAAATGTATCAATACTGAGGCGTATCACAAATTACCAATTCTGGAGTGAACAAACATGAGCATAAGGCTGAGACGAGCTCACCAGACAATTGTAGTTATTGACAGATGTGTTGGAACAAGGTCCCGGAAGAAGTAGAACATTCATTAAGTATGGTATTGATAGCGGGCCGCATACCAACGACAACGTAACACACTGCATTCAGGAAACATGGTCAAATTTCGCGCACGGGAACACTCATTGAGTATGTACCTGATCTATAAAAAAAACCATCAAGATGCGGCCGTTGACTATAGTGCATCGGCCTGCGATCATTCAAATTGCAAAGCTTGCTGACCCATGATCTCGAAGCGTTGCACTAAGTTGACGACCGAGTGTATACGTATCACAGAGACAGTCACGGTTGTTTGGAGACAAAGCCACACGTGACTGTTTGTTTGGCAGCAACTTTAGAATTAAACAACGCCTCGGCAAGAACCAGAACAGCCTAAGTAAACCGCGACTAAAATTCACAGAATGGCATTCCAGCAAATGCAACAAGAGGCTTCCGTACTCAAATACCCAGAGACCTTCGGTCTTCATCCAATGTATCCCTAGAAAACGCAGCCAACATGCTATTCCGTGCCATCCAATCCTCTCACAACCAACCCTACGCATGGACTTTTATCGACAAGCCAGGTATGAATAGTGCTAAAGACCTTAATCGTGAGCTAACGATTAATCATATACAGAAGGCCAAATATACCTCTTATTCATGCCAAATCCTCTCAGCCTCTGAAACGACGGTATCCGATGCAAGACCAAGGAAGCCGATACACTATCCCTGTCCAACGCGGTACACGGATACGCACCGGCCCTTTTATTTATTTATTTATTTATAATTCAGTTTATCCTTTTTCGAAGTCGCAGAAGTCAAATTCGACTCCCAAGACACGGCAGCATGGCGCTACTGCCTTCACAAAGGCAGTCACCCCCAACTAGTCCTAATTCACCACTCCCGTGTACCTCCCATCGGTAAGTCCTTCCACCACCGTATCATCATTTTCGCCTTCTTACCACCCATCGCGTATTGTTCCATATGTCTGTGACTTCACCAATCCACATCCACATCTCATCTACGCATATATCTCCCGCACCCCCGAGATCGACCCATCTCTCATGAATTACCCTGTCAGGCACTACCTACTATTACAAATCACGGACCCTCCTATATATGTCATGGTCGAAAGGG